GCTGCAATGAACATGGGTGCACTTATATCACTGTGGTATGATTCTTTTAATTCTTTGGGGAAGATACCCAGCAGGGGAATAGCTGGGTCAATGGGACCTCTAACCCTAGTTCTTTGAGATATCTCCCTACTGATTTCCACAGTGGTTGCACCAGTCTGCACTCCCACCAGCAATGGAGAAGGGTTCCTTTCTCCCCACAACCCCGCCAGCATTTGTTATTGAATGATTTCTTGATAACAGCCATTCTTTCTGGGGTGAGGTGGAATCTCAGTGTTGTTTTCATCTGCAATCTGTGCTGCCTATGCCACTGTACCTGGCTTATTTCTTTTATTTTCTTTCTCTTTTGGGGCACAGGGTCTTGTTTTATAGGCCAGCCTTGAACTCACTATGTAGCCCAGGCTGGCTTGAACTTGTGGCAGTCTTCTGGCCCTAGCCCCCTAGGTGCTGGGATTACAGGCATGCATCTATGTGCCTAGCTCTGGATTATCTTTTTTTTTTTTGAGACAAAGTCTCGCTACATAATTCAGACTGACTTTGAACTCCCTTAGTAGCACAAGCTGGCCTCAAACTGGTAGTGATCCTCCTGCCTCAGCCTTCTGAGTGCTGGGATTATAGGCATGTGCCACCATGCCCAGCACTGGCTTATTTCTTTAATAAGTTTTGAGATGGGATCTCATTATGTTGCTCCAAACTCTTGGGCTCTAGTGCTCCTCCTTCCTCAGCCTCCTGAATGGCTGGGTGTGCAGGTACACAACACTGTGCTTGGCTGTCATCCAAGTCTTTTACTCATAAAAATCCTCATATCCTAAGTTGAATTATGTATCTTTCTCCTGCAGTTGGACATTGACCTGAGAGATGGCTCAAGAGTCATCTCAGACTTGTCTAACAATGAAACCTATCCCCATCCTCCAAATTATTTTTTCTTTCTTTTTCTTTAATATCTCTGCGTGTGTGTGTGTGTGTGTGTGTGTGTTTTGCTAGGGATCAAACCCAGGCCCTTGTGTAGGTTAGGCAAGCACTACATCACCGAGCTACATCTGTACCTAGCTTGTCAATTTCTCAATCTATCTTTCTTTCATTTTGAGACAGGGCGTTGCCCAGTTTCCCAGGTTAGTGTGGAATTCACACTCCTCCTATCTTGGCCCCTGGAACAGCTAAGATTAACATTTTGTGCCACCACACCTGGCCTTTATTTTTCTTCATGATATTCCTATGTATCAAAATGTCAGTAGCTTTTCCCTTTCCTCTCTCCTGTGCCCCCTGGCTCCAGGCAGTGCTGTCTCTGGAGTGGTGTATTGTGCAGTTGAATTCCTTATATCTAGTCCTCCTCCTTTCTGTTTCCTGTCACCATAATTTAAACACTCCATGCTGAATCTACTGCAGAAACTCCTGATAGCTGCTTACTCAGCCCAAGCCTGTCTTGTGGCCTCCTTACTGCTCTGCCCCTGTGAAGTGTTTCTCAGCCAAGACTGGAGGAAGACTTTATCCAGTACAGGGAGAGTTTGTGTTGAGCCTTGGTTCCATCTTCCAGTTTTCCCAAGCCCACCTATTTATGCAAATCTTTGAGACCTATCTTTGCAAAGCCTCTGCTGGCTGGCTGGCACACATTCTTCTCTGCATATTGAACATTTATGGTGTTGCTGGGGTTACCCGTCCTATTCCACTGTTGAGTCTTTCATCTGAACTGGAGACTCTTGAGAATATCATTACTTATTGTGCTGATTTAGTGCCTTAAGTATGGTAAGCCCTTAGTGAATATTTGTTTTTTTTAAATTTGTTTGAATATTGATATATCTGTTATGCTGGAACAAAAACAGTACAGCTTTCTAGTGTATTCCCACACAGTCAGTATTTACAGAAAACTTGAGTTCTGCCAGTACTCACATTGTCACTACATCTGTAAGCCTATTAGGGCTTTAGGAACATGTCCTTGAACTTGTCTTCGCTTCAAGTTGTATTTAGCGAAGAAAGTAGTAGAGAATTAGTTATCTTATTAAGTGTTCAAATCATGATAATTTTGTCATTTCAGAATAATAGTCACTGAAAATTTTAAGCTTGAAGAACATTGTTAGTTTGTACTGCTACTGTTAAAATCCTATTGCTTTTTATAATATGACTGTGTATCCATCTGTGTGGAGACAGAATTTTGTATGTTATGGGAACAAAGGTGGCCTGTCTAACCTTTCTACTTTCTGAATTTTCTCTTCACAGCAAAGTTCCCCGATTACAAATCCACGTGGTCCCCAGATCCCATAGGACACAACCCCACTCATCTCTCCAACAAGATGTGGAAAAACCACATCTCCTCCAGGAACACTACACCGCTGCCCCGCCCGCCTCCCGGCCTGACCAACCCCAAACCGGCGTCTCCCTGGAGCAGCACAGCACCCCGTTCAGTCAGGGGCTGGGGAACACAAGACTCTCGGCTTGCCTCTGGTGAGAGGGGCCTCTGCCTTGGGTGAGGGAGGACATAAGGGGCTGCACACAAGAACAGGTCACAGTTGTCTGGAGGGGGCAAAAGTATCTCATGATTGGAAAGTTACAGTCAGCACAAGACAGACTCAGGGCCTCTCAGGGACACATGGAGTAAAAATAACAAATCAGAGTGAGGACGCTGGGAGGGAAATACTGTCTTGCAGATAGGCAGAAGTGTATATAGAGGTCAGGGACTAGGAGGAGACTAAGGTCAGAAACAGGTAGAGGGAGACACTTTATAAAAGGAGAGAATAGATATGTAGGCCACATGAAAATGTTTTTTCCTCATCACTTTCTTAGGCTTCTCTTATTAGTCTTCCTCATCCTTTTTCTGGTTGCTTACAGCCTCTACCTGGAGTGATGGTGGCTCAGTTCGTCCTAGTTACTGGCTGGTTCTTCACAATCTCACTCCACAGGTAATCATGCTTTCTTGTGGTTTGCTAGATAGCACTCAGTTATATTAAGAGAGTGGGAGGGGCTGGAAATTTAACTCAGTGGTGTCGCACCTGCCTCGCAAGTACAAGGTCCTGAGTTCGATCCCGAGTACCAAAAGAAGATTTAAGAGAGAGGGAAATGCAGAGATGAGGAAGTTGGTAATATGTTCCCTGATCATTGCAGAGGTCTTGCCTGTAGGAAGTAGCTCTCCTTTCACCACCCAAGGTTTCCAACCTCCTTCTGAAGGGAGCGGAGGAGCACCTCAGCCTCACACCTGCCTCCAAGGTTATGGAAATACATGTAGTTCAGAGAATAGGGGGAGCCAGGAGGGTATCATCTAGTGATTCTGGGTACCAAAGGTAATTTGCTGTACAAGTATGCTCGTTAGAGGCTGGAACCAAGTGGGAAAGGGATATTTTTACCACACATAAAGAAGGTACCTTTTTTAGTTGTTGTATAAAACTTGAGGCTCAATGTTAACAATTTTTACACTTCTTATGCTTTTTTTCATATGCTTCTTTATGCTTTTATGCTTCAATAATTGTCCATTTTTTATAGTGAAAGGAACAGTTGATTTCATAGCTTGAATGCCACATGGGTTCTTTTAGTTTTCCATTTGTTATTCTCTTTGATAATAGATGGCATCATTGCTTTGCTCTCCTGACAAGCCCTGTAAGTAGTATTTCTGGGATGGGCTTTCTCTGCCCAAAGCCACCCTCATTCTCACCTTGGTTGCTCCATAGCTGAGGTATTTCTAGTAGCATCACACTCAGTACCTGAATGAAGCCAGATGAACCCATCCAAACAGAACCCGTGACCTTCTTCCGCACTTGGCAGCACAGCCTTCACCCCACTTTGATAAAGGAGTCAATTATGTCTTGCTCCGTTTGGCATGTAGAATACATCGTCTGGGATTTAGTTCATACATGGGGTTGTGCATACTTCTCTAAGCCAACATTTCCCAGAGTGTTCCTATGAGATATTATCAGGTCTCTGGCCTGATGTTCAGAATGTATACTTTATTAAACAAAAGCATTACCTTAATGCCAGGCATGGTGGCACACACCTGTAGTCCCAGCAATTGGGAGGATCACCACAAATTTGAGGCCAGCCTGGGCTTTATAGTGAGTTCAGGGCCAGCCTGAACTACAAAGTGAGACCCTGCCTCAAAAGAAACAACCAAAAAAAAGCATTACCTTTGTCTTTGGAGAAATACATTTTCCCCTAAATGTATTTGCCTAGCAAACCCATTTGTTTAGAATAGATCGTAGAACTCATATTTCAAGGTCATTTGCAAAAGTCATTGTTAACCTCCATATCTGATAGACTCAGCTAAAAGTCGCAGGTATTTCCTTAGATAACACTTGACTGGCCTCACACATGCTAGGGAATCACTCTTACCACTGAGCTAGATTCCCAGCCTCAGTACGAAGAATCTTAGCTCCTATAATCCCAGTAGTAGGTAGGAGGATTATGAGTTTGAGGCCAGCCTAGTCTGGCCCTATCTCCAAAAAACAAGAGGGCAAAAACTATGTGCACCTCTTTTTTCTTAAAGAGTTGTCACAGAGTGGTGGTGGTGGTTATTTGGGTAAGATAAAAGAAGCAAGAAGGGTTACCCTGTTTTGAAAGGATCCTGGGCATACTACCCAGCTGTTCACTTACTCTGTCTTACTTAAAAAAATAGTGAATATATCTATATGTATGTATATAAAATAAATATGGATGAGGCTGTGTTTTGTTTTTGTTTGTTTGTTCTTTTAAGACAGGGTCTCACTGTGTAGTTCAGGCTGGCCTTGAACTCACTGTATTGCCTCAAACTCAGGGCAGTCGTCCTGCCTCAGCCTTCTAAGTGCTGGGATTACAGGTGTGTGCCACCGTACCCAGCTTTGGTGGCTGTATTTATATTAGAATTGTTGAGCTTGATATTAGACAGCTTTTTTAAAAAAGTAATCTCAATCGTAGCTTAAAAGATTAGAAGACCAAAATGAATCTGGATAAATTTACTTTTTGTCACCTAAAATGTATTTAGAGGACATCTATCCTGAAAAGTCACTTGTGACATATACTGACATGCTTATGTAGTCAGTTATCACTTACAATACTAAGAGTGATTTTTCTGATCATTTTCTGTAAAGAGCTGTGGTTAATTTCCATCCTTACTGCTACCATCAATACCATAACTTTTTATTTATTTAATTTTTTTGGTAGCAGGGATCAAATTCAGGACCTTGCACTTGCGAGGCAGGCGGCAGCACCACTGAGCTAAATCCCCAGCCCTTGTGTAACTTTTTAAAGCAGTTCCAATAGTAATGTATATAACCCAGAATGAACTGAAATGTTGCAATGAGCATCTTAAATAAACTTATTTAGGATATCGATGTGAAATTAATCGCATCAAGTGAATAGGTTTGTCATCCTACTAATGGCTTATGGAGATTATCCTTTTCTCTGAACACTTAAGTGATGAGAGTCTAACTGGGAAGAGGGACTAAAGCCTTTGGTCACTTTGCCTGAGGACAACAAAGAACCCACTCAGAGAAAGAAATGGAAATAGTCTGACCTTGAAATGGTCAAAGTAGGAGTAAGACAGTGTTGGAGTAGTCTGTGAACTGGCCCAGTCACTGACATTGTAAATAATCATTGTTTAGCAGTGCTTTTCTTGTTTGTGTCTTTCTCTTTTAACTATGTGAGATTGTTTACTGGGAAGGCAGAAGAATACAAATTAGTAATACTGAGAACTTTACATGTTAACTTAAATTCTTATTTGGATACCATCTCATTTCTTCCTTTTTAGGGTTAGAAAATAGCACACACTCCCTTGTTATCCTCTTAAAGAAAACAGACCATAGATTGAATCATATGCTTCATTTTGAGCTGTATTTTATGCAAACATTTTATTTCCCAGGTGGGAACAGTAGATCTCAGCCCAGTGCCTTATCTTGCTATTTGCCTTTCTCACCATGCCTCATACTGTTTTGTCACAAATATCATTACTCCGTAGATTGATGGGTCAACCTTGAGAACAATCTGCATGCAGCATGGTCCACTGCTGACATTCCATCTGAATCTAACCCAGGGCACGGCCCTGATCCGATACAGCACCAAACAGGAGGCAGCCAAGGCCCAGACTGCACTGCACATGTGAGTATTTCACCCTCACCCACGCAGACATACATGCTTGTAAGAATGCATGTGTGAGTATTCTGGTACCTGATTAATTAAACAGAGACACACTGTGTGAATTTGCAAGTCTTGGGTCCTGGGGTAACAGGTCTCTTCTGCCTAAGCAAGAATGAATTGTCCTATGTGTATCATAGGCTGATAATCAGAATTCCAAATATAAATAATTTGTGAAGTAGTGAGTACATTTTTTTTTTTTTTTTTGGCAGTAGTGGGATTAAAGCCCGGGCCTGACACGTGCTAAGTACTCAGTAAATTTTAAGTACCATGAACAAAGCCAATACTTACGAAAATTAAATATTTTTAGTGCTAGCATCTTTCATAATAGCTGCTTACTGTGGTCTCTTGACCACAGATGATGATGAATTTATTGTCTGGGCGAGCAGCAGGGTTTTTGCCTGAAGTAGATAGGACTGGATCAGACTTTGACCATCCTTCTCCCAGCCACTGTCAAATTGCTGGACAAAAAAGAGGTGACTCCCTTTGACTGCCACTGCCATGACAAAAGTCCACACACAGAGCAATCATGTGATGCTGAGCCCAGGCAGCCAGTCAGCCTCTGAGGTAGAACAGTGGCTTTAGGTAGCTGACACTGGGTTCCCTTATGCTCTGGGTGTGATCCTTTACCTCACCTGGAAAAAAAAAAATTAACATTTTTTTCTCCTTTTCTAAGACTTGGATTTTTTAGAGTACTTTTATAGCTCCCCACTGCACATGCATAGCCTCCCAGATTATTAACATTACCCCCCAGAGTAGTGCATTGGCCACCGCTGATGAACATGCATTGACACATAATCCCCCAGACTCCACAGTTAATTAGTGTTCACTCTTGTTGGTGCACATTCTAAGTTTGGACAAATGTATAATGACAGGTAGCCACCTACCATCATATTATTCAGTGTAGTTTCACTATACACAAAAACTTCTGTGTTGCACAGATTCATCCTGCAACACACATTTTTCTTGATAGCTAAATTGACTGAAAAATAAGAAATCTTCCCCCCCCCCAGGCATGGATACATAGTATCCTCTGGCAGTCTTTGACTATTTTGAGCTTTGTTATTGCTCCACAGCAGTTGGAATGCAAGCTCTATCTTCAGGCCTGGGGTAAGCCTTGGGATTCTGCATTCTAAAAAGCATCCAGGCAAGGTGGTGGCCTTGAGGCAAGCCTCAATCCCATTTGTGCTAGGGGGTCTCCCTTAGACCCACAGCTCTCTTTCCCTTCTTTCTCCAGGTGTGTGTTGGGAAACACTACCATCCTGGCTGAGTTTGCCACTGATGATGAAGTTAGCCGCTTTCTGGCACAAGCTCAGCCCCCTACACCTGCAGCAACCCCGAGCGCACCGGCTGCAGGGTGGCAGTCGTTGGAGACCGGCCAGAACCAGTCGGACCCCGTCGGACCTGCGCTGAACCTTTTCGGTGGGTCCACTGGGCTCGGGCAATGGAGCAGCAGTGCTGGTGGCAGCAGTGGGGCCGATCTTGCTGGCGCTTCGTTGTGGGGGCCCCCAAACTATTCTTCTAGCTTGTGGGGAGTCCCGACTGTGGAAGATCCCCATAGGATGGGTAGCCCTGCTCCTTTACTACCTGGTGACCTTCTGGGAGGAGGGTCGGATTCAATCTGAACTTAGAACTTTCAACTCTGACCTCGTGACCTTTTTTGGAACAGCAGCAGCACTAACTTGACCTTTTCGTTTTTTTTTTCAACTTGCAATAAATACATTTTTAAAAGGAAAAAAGAAAACGGAGAGAGAAAAAAAGGTGGGTCATTGCAGACTGTCTGAGCACATAGTTGCCTCCCTTATAACTTCAGTTTTTTCGTTTGGAATATGAATCCAAAAAGAGAACATATCACTCTTGAAATACTTGAATCATGAACGCCAACCTAGAAAGACAATGTGAAGCAAGTACACATACCATTTAAATTTAAACACAAAAAATTAAAAAAATTAGTTTCTAGTTTTTCACTTTTTTCATGTTATATGGAAGTTGTTGCTAAGAAACATATATACTGAAAAAAAATAGCTTTTTAACTTTGTTTGCACTGGGTGTGTTTCCGTCCTTAGGTCTACCATGTTTGGGAGGGAGGGAAATTCAAAAGAATTGTTGGGGGAGGGGGGAGGGAAGACTTGACGGAGCCTCACTTTAAACACAAAAAACCTAAAAAAAAAAAAAAAAAAAAAGGAAAAAATTTGTGATTGGCTGGTTGATAAATACCAGTGTGTTCTGGCACATGTAACTGCCCAGGCATGCTCGTTCTGGTATGTGTGTGCACGTGTGTTCATGTGCATTCGCGTGCATCCTCCTCTGTCTCTGTGTGTGCCTGCGTCCTGCCCTCCACCTCCCACCCCAACCTGATTCTCAGAAAGCTGCATTGCTGACAGTCCACAGGCTGGCTGGCCGGCCATCTGCTACTTCTTTTTTTTAAAACTATGAGAACACACAAGCATGGGGAGCCGCTGCGACTCCATCCACTCCGTTGAGCTGCACTGAATCGAAGAGTGCTTTTTAATGATGAGCACAGGGAGCTCCTTTCCATTTGTGCATCAGCATCAGCCTGAGTGTGAGTTCTCTGGCTTTTCTCTTGACCTAGCAGTAGAGCGGAGCACTGCCAACTCCAAGAATCGGAGAGCAGGAGGTACCTCTTGGAGCAACTGTGTGTTCATTTTCTGTTTTTCAAAATGAATGCCCAATAGGCACATCTGAGTACTTGTTAAGTTTCACGCAGGCCTTTTCATTAGTTTGAACGGGAACAGAAGATGAGATAGTTTTTAAATTATGTGATGTCTCAAAAGCAGAAAAAATGTATTCCGTCTTTCCTGTGTGATCAGGTGTGAGAAAGTTGTCCAAAAAAAAACCAATCAGGTAGTCCCGAATTAAATTTCTATTGGTTCTCATTTTTGTTCAATGGAAATAAAGTTGTGAGCAGCCTCCTGGAAGCATCGCAGCTCCTCCCTCTGCTCCTCTCTTCGCCGAGCGTTACCTGTGCCAGGCCATGGCGTTGTTACAGCACCAGGCCATCACTGACAGAGACGTTTACTTAACGAATGTTCTTAAACCAGTGTGTACTTCAAGCGTTTCCTTTTGTTTCTCTGTGTTGTGTATTTCCTGTGTATGTGGTTTTGCTTAGGCAGGATAACTTAGCAAAGACTTTTAAGTATTGCACCTTTTTTGGTTTTGACCTCTTTTTTTTTCCTTGTAATGTTGCTTTCTTATTTCGGTATTTAAAGACTTATTTTTTAAGCATCAGTGTAGTAGTACTCTGGGCCGAACAGGAGGCAATGTTTAATCCACAGTTATCACCAACATGTATGTACTATGTTGGATTCAAAATATATAAAACTGCTTATTGTGAAGAGAGTGACAGAAGACCTGAAGGGGTTTCCCTTCATATAAAGCAGATGTTGGGGCGGGCAGGTGGGGGAGGGGGATGTGTGCCGGTGACATGCTAGCACTTGTGTGGACGTCCCAGTCTGCATCATACTGTTCAACATAAAGTGCCGACATTCTGTACCAGCAAATACCTGCCCATTCCAGCCCTTGGTGGGAGCAGACCTCTACTGTCCTCCATATCTTGCTGCTATTGAGGACAAGGGAGTTTTTCTTTCTTTAGCATCTTCAGTGAAGGATACAGCAATGCCTAATGTATTTTTTCAGCTTGTGTCTGTGTGCAGGTGGGTAGATGGGTGTGTATAGGAAAAGGCAAAAAAAACCCTAAATTATTTGCATGTAAGTGGTTTTGTGAGATACAGAATGGGAAATTCTGAAGTCCTCTTCTTGGCTTACCCTGTTGATGACAAACCTAGCCTCAAATGAGATTGACAAGCATAATTCAAGTGAGCGCTTGCACTTGCCAGTCTTTGGGAGCCCATTGTGGGTGGGTAATCAAACTTGAGTTTGTAGTGCTGGTCTGGTCCGGCGGATGCCTTGTCCAAACTGACTGTGCCCTCCTCCTCCTCTCTGGTTTTCATCACCACTGTGCCCCTCCTACCTCTTCCCCCACAAGATGTCTTTTTTCAGCCCCACTGACTGATTTCTGCCTTGCAGCAGAGCCCTGTTGTGTTGTATGGTGACCTCCATGGGGAAGCGCAGCTTGTGTTCAGACATCCACAGACAGAAGGCTTCAATCTTAGTGTCCCCGGAGCCAGAGCCCATCCCGCGGCTCCTGCAAGCCAGTGGGGACTGTCCACTGCCGCTCTTGGTTCACGGCTGTGTCCTGCCCTGCCCTCCTCCTCTCCTGCCTGTTGGGTCCTTGACCTGCACTATGGCTTAGTTGAGTTCCTTACGATACTACGGTGAAAGCCGGGTGCTAGAGCCCCTCTTGTTTACAAGACATAAATGAGGGATTTGAAATATGTAAAATAAACACGAGAAGCTAAAATGTTCTTCCATCATAAGCTTAAAGGGGAAAAAACTGAAAACTTAAAAAAAAGACCAAAAAGTGCGTATATATATATATATATATATATACATATAAATATATATTTTAGATGAAGACTAACTCTGGGAGCATTTAACAGTGTTTTTTGTTTTTGTTTTTAACATTTATTTTCCTGCTTTAAAATTTGCAAGCATTCTCAGGAATTCTAGGGTAGGAAGCCAGTTTTTGAAGATGGTTTATTTAACCGTATCTTATCCTAGATAGACGGCTGTTTCTTTCCTGTTAATAAACTTTTACAAGTTCCTGAAACTTCAGAAAGTTTAGACAATTTTTACTTAAAAAACATGTAAAAAGAAAAGTCTCCAAATGTTGTCTTACTGGGGATCACACATTTTAAAACACATAGAAATATTTTTTAAAAATTATCAATTTAGCAGCAACAGGTAAATTCATTATCTTAAAAAATATGGGAGAAGGATTAAGCTTTCAGAGAGCTCTATCATGGACTTATTTGAAATTCTGTGATTGAATGGGGGAGCGTTTGGTGTACATACATAGGAATGCTACCACATTGTTCCTTTCCATGTAGACTGAACTGAAATCTCCCCTAGGCATTTTTATTTTTTTAACGGAACCCTTCTCCCTCTCCCCCTGCCCCAGCGACGAAAGGAATAAAGAAAGAAACAACAGCTTAAAACAAAAAGAGAGAGAGAGTAAAAGAGTAACTTTAATCTGTAAAATAGTATGGTTGGATTGCTGAGAATCTATGTAAAGAGTTAGGAAATATAGGTTAATTTTTGGAACAATTTTTAAATATAGGCATTATTACAAAATTATCTATGGAGTGTTCTGTTAATGAAGAATGTCTGTCTTACCTCCAAGTATTATGGGAGGAGGAGAAAATATAGAAGAATCTAATGAGGAACAAGTGATTTTACTTTTTTAGCTCCCAGCTACTATTGTGCTTGTTTTAATTGCTGTTTTGAAGGTCTGCTGCTTAATTATCCCCATCCCTCCAGGGAGTCGGAGTGTTTCCTTTCAGTTTTGGTGATGTTGGATTCTCCTTTTGTATTCCCTCCTGGGGCCAGGGGTCAGAATTCCTAATCATGACCACAGCTTCTTTCAAACATTAAGCTTCCCAGTGGGAAAGAAACTCCAGCTCCACAGGTAAAGGGAGTAGGTGGGGTTGCTGCCTGCAATTTCTCTAAAACCGCTTTAGTGCCTTCACACATACACCCAGACATCCTAAGCAAGGGGATGAGTGTGTATGTGCATGTGGTCCGGACACTATGCAGCTGGTAAGACGCTGGCCCATAAAGAAAATTGGAGTGATCCTGGACAGGCCCCAAAGGCAGTGGGCTAAATTGAAGCAAATAAAAATCAAGGGAAATAATGCTTTTATGTCTTGATAATGTGGAATGCCAAGTTCCTTCCTTGCATTGTGTGCCCTCGGTTACCATGCTTTTCCAGGTGTGTAATGATGACAGCTATAGTGACTTGAAAGTCTTTTGTGCTGGGCCCGTGGAAGGGGGTTCTTGTTTTTCTGCTCCTGTCCTCCTTTGTCTCCTTCCTCCTTTCTCCCCTCCCCCCTTGTGTCAACTTGCTGGAAGGTTTGCTTTATAGGTTGGCAGTAACCTAAGAACAGAATATGGTGAGGGTGTCGTGAAAGAGGAAAGCTCTTTTCTTTCCCTGGTATTCTTTGGCAAAAGCCATGTTTACCCTGAAGTTAGGTAACTTCAGAACACTTAGATTCTAACTCAGTGGGAGTGTCCTCTTTTCCACCACATATATGGAGGCTTGCTGGTCACTTTCATTACTTAGACTTAATGTTGTACACATTTTGAACATGTACATGTGAGCTTTCCATTTTTGTACTTTTTTTTTGGTACCGGGGATCAAACTCCTTGGGTCCTTGTGCTTGCACAGCGGGCAGCGAAACCACTGAGCTAAATCCCCGGCCCTAGTTCTTTCATTTTTAAACACTTTGATTACTAGTGGCTAGAAGTGTGCATCTCTCTTAAACATCACAAACTTAGTGTCTACCACATGAGTGGCCCTAAGAAGATGCAAGAGTAGGGAAAGGGATGTCTTCCATCAGACAGAGGACCCTCTGCTGCCAGTGAGATCCAGCGCCATCACCTCACTTTTAAGTATTGCAAAAAGCTCTGGTCTTTAAGACACTGTCAAGAAATAAGATGCTCTGTTTAACATCTCTGACCCCTCATCTCTAACCCTTGAAATTTTCCGTGTACGACACTCAAGAGTGAACTTAGCAATGCTGAAGTTAAGATTCCAAACCGTGCATTCAATCCCCAGCACCACCAAAAAATAAACTCTGAACCACATTCTTTCATCAGTGTCCTCCCAGTAAATCAACATCCATTTATTGCCATTCAGCTAGTTTTACTCAAAACAGCTTGCTGTTCAACTATTATGGCTTCTGTTCTAAAATTTTTCCCACCTCTTCTGACACGAATATAGCATGAGTTAGCAATGGCTCTTCTAAGCTGCTGCATGTTGAATGTTGTATATAAGATAGGCAATGGGGAAAAAGAAAGGAAAAGAAGTTCCTGCATTCGAATTTGAAGCGCCTTTATTAATGTATCTACCAGAAACTAAGAATTTATGGGCTGTTAACTTACTACATTCACTCTTCCTTTCACCCTTTTCTTGGAGGAGGTGCAGTTTTTGTAAGGTTAACAAGCCAGATTCCATTTTGACCTCAGATGCTGTGTGCTTTTTAATTTTTTTTTTTTATTCTGATGTCTTGACTCTTAGCGTTTGTGTACTAAGCAAAGTGCTGAAGCCAAACCTGTTGTCCACTGCAGTGTAAACGAGATGTTTTCAACAGACTTGGCTGTAGTAGCCATCTCTAAGATAAGGGCACAATTGAGTGTTTTTGTAGAAAAAGTCTCATTGTTCCTTATTCCCAGAGTTAAAATTCAGCGTAGAAAAAGCTTTGTCACTTACTCTTTTCGGTTTGAATATTTTATTTGAAGTATCTGTAAGGTCTTCAACTAGGAGTAGAGATACATTTTTAGCTGGTCAAAAGAAAAATAAATCAAACTTTCTTCTTCATTGTTGCCAAGTTTTGTCATATTTCATGTCTGTGCATTAACTATACTTCTTAATGTTACTACAAAAAGAAATCTTATTCCATGGTTTTGTTTTTCCTTCTGTGAGTGTACAGCTAAGGCTGCATACTGTGTAATGTAGATGAGGCTATTCTAGACTCTGTATACAGTGAATTGTCCATCTTCAGACCTCATTCAGAAAATAAGGTACCCTTAAGCCCTGCTGCACACCACACCATACCCCTTGGCTTCTTTACCTACAAGGACAAGGTATCCAATACAGTCTAGAAATAGATAAATATTAAGAATGCTTTCAAGGTCATCCATCAACAAGGAAACTCAGAATAATATCTATATTTCCAGAGTTTGTGCATACCCTATAGTATGGTCTGTAGTTCTATGGCCTGTGCCAAAGGTGTTTATATGTTCAAAGATGGTCCCTATTTGTCAATGATAGTAGTTTTTTTTCCTTTGACCTTAGTTTGACAAAGGAGGTGATTGCATCACATCCTTTAGATTTGAAATAATCGTCAGCTGCAAGAATTCTAAACATAGTGATAACTTAATAAAAATTGAACATTAGCCTTCCCTAAACTACCCATAACACCTCTCTACCCTGTACCCCATGCTGCCAAAGAAGGAGGCCATGAACATCTGAGGATAGTAAAGGAGGGACACTAGTCAGGGAGTGGAGGGCTGCTCCCACCAGCTCAGCATCCATACTCTCTGCATGTGGTCAGTCAGATGAAATCCTAAGCAATTATGAAATATTCATAACATGAGTAATTTTTAAACTATCAATCTCATGTTGTAACCTACTAGCACCCCTAAAAAAAGGAATGAAGTTACAAAAACTGCCAGTGTTTGCCCCACAGAATTTAAATAGTTTCTTTTTCATAGGTGTATACCTGGATTTGTTTTTTGCATGAAGCTGCATACTAGGGAAGTGGTACTGCCCTGACCAGAAGGTCTTGGCCAAGCCCAGCCATTGATTCTTCATTGTGACAAATGCTTGTCTTTTTGAAGGAGGGGGAAAGTCAAGTAAAATACACAGGCAAAAAGTGTTCTGTTTTAAATAAGAAAGAAATAGTGTTTCCCCTAAAACAGTGTGCCTCAGCGCAGTTTTCAAACTATGAGTCATTGCTTTGGAAATAAATTCCCAATTATAACTGATCCATTTTTCCAGCCAGCATCAGTAAGTTGAGATATTTTTTCAAAACAGGAGATTGTTCCTTGCTGCTTGCCTTTCGCTTCTCCTCCCTGGCTTCCTGGACCTCCTGGTGAATCAGGTGTTCATTCTCCTTGGGCCACTGAAAGTGTACCTCACTGGTAGAGAGGCATCAGAAGGTGACTGGAGGCAAGATGAAGCAGTCTCACTTCAGGACTGGCTTGACCGCAGAGCTTTGCAGAGACAAAGTTGACAGATCCTAAATGCATTCGCCAAAAATGAAAAGGGGCATTTTTGCAAAACAAACAACCTTGAGAACCCTTCAAGAAGTCACATACCTTGTAAAGGTAGTATTTTTTTTTCACCAAGTGATACATTTTTAGCATGATACTTCTTGCCAGAAATTTCAAGTTAAGTTAGAATAAATGTGTTCAAAACACCACCCCCAAGCCCCTTCTTAATTTTGTCCAAGGACTCTCTTGAGTGTAGTACTTCTGAATGTGCCTTTGTGAGTATGGAGACTGTCTTCTGTAGGTAGAGACTGCCAGTTGTGGAAACAGAAAGACAGTCACTTTAGCCTTCAGCAGTCAGAGTTCCACCAGGCGCCCCAGGGGGAGCTGTGGAATTTTCATTTGCATCAATATTGCACAGTGTTGTTGTGTGGAAGAGATTCTGGGACTTGGTTAATGAGGTATGGTTGCACAAATGACAGAGGCCCAGGTTAGGCCTAGAGTGCGGGTTGGCTTCTGCAGCTGCATTCCTTAGTTTTCTTTGTACATGTGCATGTGTGGCTGTTTAATCTTTTGTTTTTCTGTGATCACTGGAGATTGGAATGTAGTGATATTTGTGACATTCATGCATGTAGAGCAGGCATTTTCTGGCTTCAGTTTGGCCACCCAGTTTCACCCTTTCACCTTACATCCTGAGAAAGTGGAAGCCACACCATGTTGCTATTCATGCTAACAGGGTATCACACACCAGGAAAAAGGTTTTGAAAGACTTAAGATTTTAAGTGAGAAAGGAAAGAGGAAAACCCAAAATCATATTTTATTTCTTCAGAGCTATTATAGCTAACCATAGGAATGTGTAGTATCTCCTACTTTGTTTTGGTGTTTGTTTTCAACGATTCCATCTCTTCTCCCTACTCCCTGTGTCCTTAAGAAATAGCAAATGAATACTAAGGGCCATTTCCACAGATTCCTCAGAACCCTCCCAGGAGATCCCTTCAGCCTTGTCAGGGTGACACAGGGAGGAGGGTGCTGCGCTTCCTGTGCTCTGCTCATTCCCCTCTAATGGCCTTGAAATGTATTATTATGCAAATGTGAATTTTGATACTGAATTTAAGAAGAGGGTGTTGGATTTTCTTTCTTTTTTCAAACAAAAAGGTCCATATGTGGTCATCATTGCTTCATTTTGTAACGTGAATTATAACTATGCATTCTGCAAGGGGGGAGGGCAAAGGGGAAGGAAGTTGCTTTTCATCCTTGTTCTCCGGTTTCTGTGTCCATGGTATCCCCATGTCCAGGAGGGAAAGGGGAGTGAGAGAAAATGCACTAAGGTCATCACAGTGAGGCTGAAAGAGACCTCTGAGGCCTCTCGCCATGCCCGGCAGGTCTGATAGCCAGGCACATTACGGGGAGCCTACAGCTCCTGTCCATTTATGAAGTACAGGAGTCTTCATCTAGCCGTGCAGTGTTAATCCGGGGCAACAATGGGACCCCAAAGACTCCAGTGTTCTCTGGACAAAAGTACTCATCCTTTCCTGAACTCAGAACCCTTTCAAGCTCAGGAAACCATGCCTCATGCTGATGTTAATCTTTATGTCAATTTCAAAAACTTACCCTCTTTTTTTTTCTTCTTTTTTAATCATTGTTAAGTGAACTTAAGTGAGGAAATTGTCCTACTCTTAAGGAGAAGAGGGCAGTTGCCTGCTATTGCTTGACAGGCAAAAAAGCATTCTCTCCCTTATCTGCTGTCCCCAGCCAAATATCTCTCTGCTTCCCTTGCATCACTACACTGTACATAGCTGGCGAGCAGTAAAATTCTGACACAGGAACTGCCTACATTCATCCTCTTCGTTCTGACAGTTCTTTTGTTGATCTTGCCTGTGATATATCATAGCACCCCATTGATCTGGTCTAGGCATTTTTTGCAATACAGTATCGTAAGCAAAAGATTGTGGCCTGTATTCAGTGTTTTCCATGCAGCAATTTTTGTTGTTGATGTTCACAGTACTGTAATGAGTAACCAGACTTGATCACAGTCTTCTGTGCCTGTGCAGGACTGCACGGGCATGATCTTATCAGGGTTCCAATCTGTTAGATTGCCTTTTAACAAAAAGCAAAACAAAACTCCTGACGTTTCAACTAACACAAAACTATACCTCGAGGTATATTTATTTCCCCTGCAATGTAAACCCTTAACTCCTGTCTCCTTTCTGACATTGGTGGGTTATCCTTTATAAGATATGAACATGTAAATAGCAGGATAACTTTTAAAACATTTTCTTTGCTGTGAAGGTAATCCTAAAATATGATATATTCCATGTTAAGCCATCAGAAGTTTCAGATCTGAATTCTTTCATGTTTAAGAAGAAAAGGCAGAGCAAGTCAGTGGGGTGGATTTGCATCTGAGCTAGGGCTGTTCTCTCCTTGGCCCCACACACAGTGACAGCAGACCAGTCAGTGTCTAAGCCCTATCCTCACTAGGTGCCATCGTTTCCAGCATCCTAGTTCTGGGGTAGGGAATGTCTGAATTTCTTTCTTCCAGAAGATCAGTCCCCTCTAGGGACTCCAGAAGGTTTTCTGTGTGACACCTTGAGCTCTTACCCATCCTTGGTGTACACACACATTCGTTGAGTATCATTCTGAAGTTTCACCCTGGGATTTAGTCCCTGGCATTTCAATGTATGCTATAGAATTCATGGCCTTGTATTATGATGCTCTGGAGATGTTCTAGTTTCTTACTTTGAAGGAAACTCATTTAAGGAGACGCCCAAACCCTGAAAGCTGTGTGCATTCTCAGATCTTCCTCTCTCCATGAGGCTTAAGGCTGACTTTAGCAGAGGGAAATACATTTAACACATGCTGCTCGTAGGGCTCTGTCAGCTACTTCCCTTATTAGATTTGGGCTCCCACGAGGCAGGGTTGGAATGGATAGTCTTGAATAGCTTCTTTAGGAAAGCCCTCTTTTGCCCCACTTTATGCAAACCTATCAAGAAGCCCTTTTGGTGTGATCTCACTGATCTTGTATAGTGACGACTTCCTTTGAGGGAAGAAACTTGATTATAAGTGCATGCACATTATCTACCCACCTTCTGATTTGGACACTGTCAAGTTAGGATTTTACTTCTGTTGTTTATCTGGAGGCGATTATCCTGTCAGTGTCCTTCCTCTGATCCCCATAGGCTCTGCCTGCCCTTGTATCCCTCTCTGATGGTCCCAAAGGGCTCTGCTGATCTCTACACCTCTTTTCTGGGACATACCCCACCACCACCACCCTTTGCACACACCAGTGACCAAAGTGTTTGCAGTGGTCTCACAGAAGACATCAAAACGGTGCACGCACCTCGAATGTGCTCAGAGACACGTGCACAAGATTCTGCACCCATGGCCTTAATCTCAGCACGATTTAAGGTGCAGGAACATTTTTAACAGGTTAAAAAAAATCTTCTGGGAGGGAAAAAGCAGATACAACAGCTCAACTGTGCCCACTTCTAACTGTCCACTCTACACCTTCATGTTGTGTGCCGACCCATCCCATCTGTGTTCTGCATAACCAAAAACAGACAACAAAACCAACCTGAGGAGAGGTTTCTGGACTATTTTATCTTTCTCCCTTTCGATGGAGATATAAATGCTGCTTTGGGTTCCATAATCCTAGGGGGCTATGTTTACATAGTGACATACATCCTACCAAATCAGGAAACAGTGGATAGCAGGACTCACTTCAGTGAGTGGTCACTGAAGGTGAGGGAGGACCTGGGGGCATGGCCAAGGAGGAGAGGCAGAGAAGTACTTTTTAATTCCTTGTGACACATGACCCCCATTCTCCTCTCTTCCTCCCTCTGTGGCGCTCCTTGCCCCTTTTAAACAGAAGGTGCAGAGAAGAGCATCAAAAGAAGGCTGGATTTTTTTAAGAGGCAGCTTTCCAACTTTGCACACAGAGGTAACAAGGTACAGCAAAAATCATCCTCTCATCTGAAACACTGTCAGCAGAAACAACCTGTCAAAAGGACTAAATAGCTGCACATACTGATGCTTTCTGCAAGTTACCTATAAGTGTTTTGTTTTTTCTTATACTTGAAATAGCTTTTACAATATTATTTTGGTGGCTTTCTTTTCTCTCTTCTGATGGGCAATAGAGAAAGTGGATGATGAGATTTAAGGACACTTGAGGGGAGAAAAGAGAGGATATGGCATTGTCTTTTTTGTTTTTAACATAGAGATTTAATCAAACTCCCATATGTTGAAATTGCTCCTCATATTACTGGTTTTACATGGACACAGAAACTAGGCACTTTAGAGGTGCACTTGCACGGCAGGCTGGGCCCCCTTTTTCTATATTTTATTTTACTTTTTTAGTATAGTGGTACTTAAAATCACTGGTTCACTTAAAAAAACAATAAAATGTTAAACTCTACTAATGTACAAATAAGCTGAAAAGTTGCATTTTATGTGTATTTTTTGCCATAGCAGGTACTGTATTTCTCATGCTGGATTTCAAAAAATATATATATATATCAAAAACAAACAAAAAAAACTGAAGGGTCGTGTTTTATTGGATTGTGACAGGTTGAGTAATAAGGAATTAAGTCGCCGTCATTTCATTAAAACTGAGAGATGATGTCATACATATATAAGAGTTTCCTGAAGGGTTTTTTTGGGCTTTTAAAAAACAGCTTATTTTTGTTTTTGTTTAGTTTTTTATTTTATTTTATTTTGAAAAGATATGATTGTATTATGTGCAACTCAGTTGCTTACATTATAACTACAAAATATTTTTGGGTTTCTGGAAAAAAAAAAGAAAACAGACTAATAAATGTGTTTGGCTGCTAAGCATTTACTATTGTGGTTTTCCTGTTTTATTCTGCCAATTTAATTTGCTCATTTGTTGAATGTTTATCCTTTTTTCTCCTCTTCTCCCTCTCCCTGCCTCACACATAAAAGCTGTCTGAAATTCTACATTTGAATTTGGACCTCAGCTTTGCCTCTCTTGTCTCGTTATGTTTTTGTTGTTAGGGTTGCTGTTGGGCCAGTCAAGTCAGTTTGTGCTGCTCGCTGCATGTTCCTTAACTGTGGCCTGCCATGTGCAAGGTTCAAACTCTCTAAAAGAAATTGATGTTCTTCTGCCTTTGCTGTTGTTTTGTTGAACTCTAATTTGTATTTGGCGTTAGAACTCTAGGATAGAGGAGAAACAGTTCTACCTCTTACTACTGCTGTACCCAGGGACGGTAACCAGTCAGCTAGCTTTGTCCAGAAAATGCCATGCCTGCCTGTCACCTGCATTGAGTTCTGCAGCACTACAGAGGAGAGCTACAGCCTTAACCCCTGGGCTTGGCTTTGTCCATCTCCACTGTTGTTCTTAACTGTTAGCTCCTCGAGGAGAAAATTATTACATGTGATTATTATATGTGATCATCAAACACTTCCACAATGGCAAAGAGGAAGAATGGATGGGTACTGATTTTTCTAATTCCTGGGTACTTGTGTATCTGATTGAATTCTCAGAAGGCTGTGAGAGACATGATTAATTGCAGTAAAAGACATACAACCAACTCCCCACAAAGTACTCCTCCTTGTTTTGAACCCACTCCATCATTCTTGCCACTTTCTCAAGCAGTTGTGGAAGCCCTCTTTAGTGTCTTTAGTTGTGCTGTCATGGGTGGCTCAATGTCCTGAATTGATTCAAAACATTTACCTTTCATGGTCAATTTGACTTCAAGGAAGAGTCAGAAGTTGCAGTGTGCCAACTTCAGTGAATAAGGTGGATGAGGATATATCACAGTATTTTTATTTGCCAGAAACTGCCATAAATGATCAATGAAGTGTGATAAAACAGGATGAATGTTTAAATCAGTTTATTACAGTAAAAGGCACATTGCCATTAACCATCTCAAAATATTCCAATTTGAGCACACTTATCCAATCATTCTTGACAATGTGTCTTAACTGCAATGAGTTTTGTTAAATTTAAACATTCACTGTATCTTTTGATCACCCCCCTTAGAGACAGCAGCAAACTGATTTCATCAGGAAACTGAGGCTCAGAATAATGTTATTAGCAAAAACAGGTAACACTGATTAAGTGCTTGCTACAAGCTGGGCACTATTCTAAGCATGCCACACATCAGTACTCATAACTACAACCCATCATCTCTATTGCTTGTGAAACCATAATAGGAACCCAGATGACAATCAGAAGCTGTGTCAGTGCATGATGCAACTCATGGTAGAACACACTTTTAGCATGCATGAGGCCCCATGTTCCATCCCTAGCACCAAAAAAAAAAAAAAAAATCAGAAGCTTGACCTAAAATCACCTGGACTTCTGAGAAACTGGTAGGCTATGTACTAGCCAGTTCTTTCATCATAAAAGAAGTGAACACTGGCAAATGGAGGTAAAAAGAAATGAATTACAAGTTGGAAAACACCATGAGGGCCTGCCTCTTCCAATTATGCACTCTTTTTGGAGAATAGGGATCAGTGCAGAAACTATGCAGACTGGGCAGGGGATGTAACTCAGTGGCTCTGTGCGTGCCTGGCAGGAGCAACATTCTGAGTCAATCCCCAGTACCAGAAGGAAAAAAAAAAAAATAAACAAACTATGCAGACCTTCCTCCCCAATGGCTTTATTTGAAAATTTTGATAATGTTAAGATTCATAAATGGGGCTGACCCTGGTGGCACACACCTGTAATCACAGCACTTTTGAAGGCTGAGGCGAGAAGATTGCAAGTTTGAGCCCCACCTGGGCAACTTAGAGCCTGTCTCAAATTTTTTCAAAAGGGTTGGAGATGCAGCTCAATGTAAGGGTCCTGGGTTCAATCTCTGGTACTGTAAAATAATAACATAAAAGCATAAGTGGCCAACAGAGATGGTATTACAGAATTAAAAGTGTTTTTAAAAACTATTACATTGGACTCAGTCTTCCTCTGCATCCAAACAGAAGATCTATCTAGTCTCTGAGGCCTCTCAGCTCTTTCCTCTAGGTCTCTTCAGACCCTACCCCAAATTCCTCCCCTCTGTCATCACTAATTTCAACATCATCCTTGATTGTGGCCTCCTGTTCTGCCGGCTCCCACTCTTCTTCAATGGCTATATTTTGACTTCATCAGCCATTTGCCTCTAATCCGGTTTAGATTTTATAGCCCATAATTTGAATACTACCCCTTTTTTTTCCCCCAGTACCAAGGATCAAACTCAGAACCTTGCACTTGTGGTGCAGTGCCACTGAGCTAAATCCCCAGCCCTGAATACCATGCTTTTTAATACCAGTGAATTCCCTTGCCCCACCATTTTCTTGACACCTACCTACATGATGAAATCTCCACTTTGGAAAACTCTCTATTTTCTATTTTCCACCAGCACCCAAAGCAGTCTGAATGGCTGGGACTTCGGGGAGTCACTATAGGGCAAATAAGGACTCCCATAAATCCTCCATAACCAACTACCAAAGGGACCTGGACACTGCCCAGCAAGCTTTTTATGTCTCTCTGATCGGTTTGCTCAACAAACACTCCTTTCTCCAGACCTTTTCTGATGTTTTTTCCCTGCCATGCTGGAGATGGAACCCAGGGCCTCCCTCATGCTATTCAAGTACTTTTCCACTGAGCTACAGCCTCAGCCCTGATTTCAAATCACTCAGCTGAGGATTTTTCCCATTAATGCGTAGAGAAAAGAGATCTCAGAAAAATTCCCTCAAATTCTTGCTTCCAGACTAAGCAAAGAGATCTCCCTCCCTGCTCATGCTGGTTCTTCCTCCAATGCTTGGACCGATCCCCTCCTAATCTTCCCTCAACTGCTCCCCTACTGCTCTCATTCGTTCTTCTCTTCCTACTTACCTTTGACCTCTCGTCCATTTTCCCATTACTTTCTCCTGGGGCCCTCTGCCAGTTAACATGCCCAAGCCCATCCCATGGTACAACTCCTGTGTGCCCACATGCCAGCCTCTGCCTCTCCAGTTGTACTCCCATTTTCCCGCTGGAAATTTTCTTCCCTGGCCCTCTCCCTCTTCCTATCTGGTTCTTGGCAATCATTCCACTGAATGTTTTCTAATATCACTGTCAACCTCCCTAAGAGGACTCCAAAAATCTGGCTTGCCACCTGCACACTGACAAGTACCTCTTTCTCCTGGCTCTCGCCCACTTCCATTCATCCCTTTGTGCCTGGTCCTGAACTATTGGATTGCATGGGTACTCAGAACAGTCCCATTTGTTTTTTCTCTGTACCAAAAGCATAGACAATGTCATCCACCTCAGTGGCCACTTTTCTTACTCTCCTTTTGCCTCCAATTAAACTAAATTTTCCACCCATGGGCTCTATCCTAAATGTTCTGCTTGCCAATCTTGATGCTTCCCCACCCAGCTCCATGTCTTTTAATACAACCTAAAGGCCTGGTCTGTCCAAACTATATCTCCAGTCCTGGCCTCTCTAGTCTCCTTTCTTCTGACTACAGAAGTGCCTGTCTGAGTTCCTAAGTCCAATGGTCAAATCCCTCCACCCTCCTGGTCACATCTACTCCCCTTTACCCCCAACCAGCTTTTGGGCTCTGCTCACCCAGTAGTTCAAACCCACACCTTCCCCACATTGCCTCCATGATGACGAAGTCCTATAATCTACATTACATGTACATCCACAGACAACTCTGCTACCAACTTGGGTTCCACCACTCTATCCTCATCTCAGGCTCACAGCAGCTTCCTTGTCCTCTTTTTGTCCTTGTCCCTGCTGGAAACTGTTCTCTGTGAGGCAGTCACAACTTGTGCCTGCCCCTAATTTGCATAACCTGTACATACCCTCCATGGTTTCCATTAACACCTAAGATGAAAACTCCACATCACTGTCCACAAATCCCACACAAGCTGTTCTCATTCCCTTTGAGTCCCCCGAACCCAACTTACACTAGCATTCTTAGTTCCCTTCTTCCTGACACCAAACTCATGCCCATCTCCAGGCCATTGTACTTGTTTTTTCTGTCTGGCATGCTCTGCCTCCTGCACTTTGGCCTGGTCTCTTGACAAAATGTGAGCCCTTACCTGATCATCCTATCAAAAGTATGTCACTACCCACAGCTCAACCTAAGCTACTCTTGTCCCACAGACCTTAGCACTCCAAAATTCTTTTTATTTCTTCCTCCTTATCCATCTCTGTCACTGGAGTAATATAACACCAAAAAAGGGGAGAATTCTTCGTTAAACATCTCAAAGCCTATGGCTCTCATGAGCCATCTATCTGCTAATAACCCCTAAATTTATATCTCCAGCCATACCATTGAGCTCCAGACATGTATACCATATATAATTATCTACTTCAACATTTCAAAGTACTTGGATATGCTGCAAACTCAATGAATCTAAAATAGAATTTGGTATCGTCTGCTTGCTCCACCTCCTATCTTCTAGTAGCTGGCATCGCCAACCACAATTTATCCAACAATAAAACCTAAAACCTTAGTCATAGCCTTGACTCTGCCTCCCCCTTCTTCCCTTAACTAATCCACTGATCCATCACCAGCCTGTCTTGATTGTCCCTCTTAATCTTCCCTTTTTTGGTCCCTGTCTGAGCTAGATTATTAACACCATTAGGTCTTATCAAGCCCATGCAGTTGCCCAACTGATTTTTCACCCCCAGTTCCTCGATCACCAATCCTCCTTCCCTTTCTGATTTCCCTTCCTCCTTCTCTAATCCCTGTCTATATACATAATGGGATATTTTTCAAAACATATCTGATGAGGTCATTCTCCAGTCTAAAGTCCTTTAGTGGCTTCTCATTGTCCAGCTTCCACCCACTTCCCCAAACTAACCTCCCTCTGTTCTCACCATTATCTTTTCCACTCCAACCTCATTGTATTCTATTGCCTAGCACAAACTGACCATTGAATATGTACACGGTGGAATGGATGATCCTAAAAGGAACATGTTGTTACAAAAAGAATTATCTGAGAAACTACAGTACAGATTTTTAGAAGCCACAAATGAAAATGGATAGACATAAAAAAAAAAGACTTATTCATTGAGTTAGCCCACAAGAGAAAAAAGTAAAACTCCAGTTGAGAGATGTTGCCTTAGGTGACAAGACAGCCAGCTGGAAGTGTATGGGTAGCCTTTGAAGACCAAGAACCAACACTTCATGGACTTGTCTGGCATGCAGGACGCATGGATCCCATCCCCAGCACTGCAGAACAAAGTAACCACTTTGGAGGAACTTTGGACTCAGAAGGTAAGTTGGATGGTTGTGCAAGTTGTTTGGGGGGGTGGGGAGAAAAAGCTGGCTAACTCAGGGAAACACCCACCACTTCCTTTTGTAAAGGTGAGAGGAAGCAAGGTAGGAAAAGCAGACCAAGGAAGAGCAATTTTGAGCTAGCCATGGTGGTGCACACTTGTAAACCCAGCACTTTGGGAGGCTGATGCTTGGAGGGTGGCAAGTTCAAACCCAGCCTCAGCAATTGACCATTTAGCAAGATGATCTTGAAATATAAAGGGGCTGGAGATGTAGCTCACTGTAAAAGGCCCCGGGGTTCAATCTCCAGTGCTGCAAAACAAATATCTCTGTAATGAGCCCAGGTAATTAATTAGTAGGCTTCTCTGATGGTCAGATATTCTAGAATTGGCACTTTGGTCCAGATTCTGGTTGCTAAATCTGGACTTCTGGAAACATAGGATGAGGAGGTATAAGAGAGGAGGAGGTGTGACAGAATCTAACTCATGACTCTTGTGGGCCTACTTCTCTTACTAAGCTAGACTACTTGAGGGCAGTATACTATGCTAGATGTGGCACTGGGTAACAAGTGACCAAGATAGACTTGATTTCTGCCTCTTGAGTTGGCCATCAAAGGGAAAGGCAACCAACACTGAACTCATAAAAGTTTTATTTGTAGGAAGCCAGGAGGTCACTCAACACCTAAGGAAACAGGAAGTGTGAAGAGAGCACACTGCAGCATGGTCCATAGGTTTTTGAGTGAATCTGAATGAATGAAAGCAGGAACAGAGAGGTGACGGGAAAGGAAGTGATGGCCAAAAGACAGATCAGGAAATCTTGAGATCTAATCAGTAATTTAATGTTCCGGAAATACTTTTGTTATTGGGAACGAGAAGTTCATCTCATCAAATAAGCTGGGAATTCAAAGTGGAACCTGAGAGGTCTCATTTTATTGAACTCAAAAACAGGTAAGTTCAAAACGGCACAGTATGGATGCTGCAGCACAGGGAAGGACCAATTTGGAGCTGTTCAGAACCAGGTTTCTGGATCCTCTCCCCTTCAATAAGAGCAGTCTAAAGAACTTCAGTCTGCTGGCAGTGATAGCAAATGCCTGTAATTCCATCACTCTTGGCTACTTAGCTTAGCAAGACTCTGTCTTTAAATAAATAAGGGCTGGGCTGAGGATTTAGCTCAGTGGTTCCCCTGCCTGCCTCACAAGTGCAAGGTCCCGAGTTCAATCCTTGGCATCAAAAAATAATAAGGGCTGGGGGTGTAGCTCAGTGTGAAGTCCCCAGGTTCAGTCTCCACAACAGGGGAGGGGGTGGATTGGGAACAATCTTCCCCTGCCTTTGTTATCTACATATTGGAGACCATAGTAATGGCTAGCATTTATTGAGCACTTACTCTGTGCCAAAAGTTTTGCTTGTATCTCCTCATTTAATAACACCAAACAAGCTAGGATTGTAAAAAGGATTAAATGAGTTCACCTGTATAAAGCACATAGGCCAGTGCCTGGTACCTAGGAAGAGCTCCCCAAAACGATAGTGGTTTTATTATTGGCCAACCAGAAGAGAGATGAAACTTGGAATATTTTCTGGACTGGGTTTTAAGTAGAAGTGAGTGAGAAAAGTATTCCAGACAGAAGGTAGGAGGATGGTGTGACACAGTCTTAGTGTGTGAACGCAGCTTCTAAAGTGGGTCTTAGCCAGAAGTGGTGGCACATACCTGAAACCCCAGCACTCAGGAGGCTGAGGCAGGAGGATTGTTGTGAGTTCAAGGCCAGCCTAAACAGCGAGACCCTGTCTCAAAAAAATAAAAAATAGGGCCGGGGATTTAGCTCATTGGCACTGGGCCTGCCTCACAAGTGCAGGGTCCTGAGTTCGATCCCCAGTACCAAATAAAAATAAAGGGGTTCTTAAATCTGGCTGTGTGCCTTTCTTTGCCCTCATCCGAAAGCGCTGGCTGAAATCCATTTCTAGTGTACCTTGGCGTTAAGGGGTTCCCTTAGTACCCAAGAAACACCAACTTCCCTTGGGCATCTTCATTTCTCTTCAGAACTGCGCCTGGTACCACAAAGGCAGTAGGAGCGGGTTGAGGGAAGGCAACAATATAATTAAATAACGGCAAACACATCGGGCCTTTTAAGTGTACCAGTAATTGCACTAATATTACATCTGCACAACCATCTTAAAAGGCAGGTATATGCCCTTTATAGATGGGAAAACTGCGGCACAGAGGGGTTTTGGTAATTTATAAAGCTCTTTACCTACCTCTCTATCTCTCATATCTCTATTTAATCCACTATCCTGTCCTATCTCCTATCCTATCCCTTCCTATCCTTTGTTTATCGCTAATCACATTTCTGGTAAACCAGGGAAGTACAGTAAGCAACATCACTTAAACCCTCTGCAACCTCCAGCGCTCTGAGGGCCGGGATTTTTCTAGGGGGCGGGGTCTAGCAGGGAAGTCCCGCCCCCAGGCTTCCGCTTCCGACGGTCCTGTCCGCTGTGGCGGGGTCGCTTGTTAAGGATGGCTGCCGGAGACAGTAGGTGCGCGTTGGATACTTACCGTTCTCCGCTTGCCTCCCGCTATGCTAGCCCGGAGATGTGCTTCATGTTTAGCGACAAGAACAAGTTCCGGACGTGGCGGCAGCTCTGGCTGTGGCTGGCAGAGGCTGAGCAGGTAACGAGCCCAGAGGCTCAGGGGTCGAGCCGGGCGAGGAGAGCGCGCCCCAGCACGTGCTGGGCGGGGCGCAGAGCCCGGGCTTTTGGCCTGGTTCCAGTAGCTAGGCTATTTTCTTTGGTTGTTCTGTGTCCTAAGGAGCTGTGGCCACAGAAAGGCCGGGGCAGGAGGCCCAGGACCCGCAACTGTTGCTCACATATTTTTTAGTCCCAGAAGGTCCGAGACGAGGAGAGATGCAGTGTGTTGCTTCAGGCAATTCAGCTTTGCCATTGCAGCAGAAGTGCGTGGCTAACCACAGATGCTGAGCTCAACTGCTGTCCCCACACATTGCAGGGAGGAAAACTGCCTGGAGAGCGAGCGCGTGGTTTGCCCCAGGCCACACAGCATAATGGGACTGGGATTTGAATCTGGATTCCGTCCAGAGCTTGAGCTGAGCGCTTAGCCACTTCATCTTCCACAGTGCCTGTGAAGTTAGTGAATGTAACCGGTACTGCAACTTCAAAAGTTACGGTTTTTTCTTTCGTTTGCTTTTGTTTCTTTTCTTTTTCTTGTAACCACTTTTATAGTAAGATAGGCAGCAGGATTTAAGTACCATCTAGAATTATGTAAGCCACTTAGGGTTTAAAGTCATTCTGAGCCTTCTTTGTGAGGCAGGATAGAGTTCAAATTCTTGAACCATTTGTCAAAAAAACACTTCGAATTAAGAATAAGAGGATAGAGACACTGGGGGTGTGTTTGATGAGCTCTGTTACCAACAGCTTAAAAATAAAAGTGCTTGGGGCCGGAGATTTAGCTCAGTGGTTCTGCTGCCTGCCTTGCAAGCACAAGGACCTGAGTTCGATCCCTGGTACCGATCCCTGGTACCAAAAAATAATAATAAATAAATAAATAAATAAAAGTGCTGTGCCACTTTGTGGCTCCCTAGAAAAGTTTTAGTTACCTGTGACTTAGAAAAAGGTAATTTTACTGTGATAGAACATGGATTTCATGGAAATCTGATTTTATGGAAAAAGGATCTATTCAAACCTAGCTCAGAGGGGATGGAGAGTCCTTTTGCCTCAGATCACCCTCTCATTTACAGGTGAAGAGACCCTAAAAATAGTAAGGAACAGAAAGGGGAGAACGCAGAGATAATGCAGATCTCCACACTTGCTTTGTCACTTCTAGTCTTCTTCAGCCAATCTGACTCTTGTTGAAAACATACCATGGTCCTGGCCTCCTGGAGCTGGCATCTGCATATTCTGTCACTTTTGGATTGAAGAGAGGAGCAGTTATTGCTATGTGCTCAACAGGAGGAAGTTTGGAGAAGTTGCTTATCTCTAAAAGAAAAAAACATAACTTTTAAAGTTCCATTTTGCAGTGCCCATTACAGTACCACTGGAATCTGTGTTTTCTCAGTTTCACAAAGCTGCATTTTGCCTCTATCTGGATGGTCCAGATAGCAGTTAATTAAGCTGGGTTTATACTCTGCCTTATATAAGGGCTGCAAATATAGCTGCTCAGCTCAGCAGTTTTAGAAATAGCTCCAGAGGAGCCTTCCCAGAGTTGAAAGAAGCTGAAGGTGAGCCAATGAATGCTAGTGTTTCTTCTCAAATTTCACAGCAGGTGTCACCTCAAGCAAGGTGGCAGTGTGTTTGCAGATGACAAAGTAAATCTGGAAACATCTGAGTAGTGCCTGGGACCCTGATAACCTGCAACTTTTATCACAGATTCCTTGCCCAGCCCACATCATTGTGCTGGAAGCATCCAATGATAGGATAATTTTAGCTATTTATAAAGCACCCTCTGTGACCCAGGCACTGTTTGGGGGTGGGTGTTGGACTCAGGCCCTTCACACTGAACTACATCCCCAGCCTGCCTGCCTGCCTTTCTTTCTTTCTGTCTTTCTGTCTTTCTTCCTTTCTTCCTTCTTTCGTACTGGGGATTGAACTCAGGTCCTTGTGCTTGCGCAGCCGGCAGCAAAACCACTGAGCTAAATCCCCAGCCCTAGATCATCTTTTTATTGAAATATTTTCTTACGCTTCTTAGCTAGCTGGGAATGCCACCGCACCATTGTTGAGGTCATCTATGATGTTACTAGAGTCAGGCACTTTTTAATTTACGTAGGAGTCAATATTCCCATGCCGTAGGCATGTAATAAAGTGTGTGTGTGTGTGTGTGTGTGTGTGTGTATTCTTATAAAAACAAATTTTAAAGAGACTTTACATCTGATAGCTCATTAATTCTTAAAAGAGCCCGCTAGGGTAAGTACTGTTAATGTACCTATTTCACAAATAAGAATGGAGGCATAGAGAGATTGATTACATTGACTCAGATCATCATAGTGGGAGATAGTAGGGCCTCAGTCATGCATTGCATTGGTTTGTTTCTTTGATGCTCCATTCTAGGTATGAGGATAGTAACACTCAGGAACACTTGGCCAGGATCACTGTACGGCTTCAACCTGAAATTGAGTGTTGAATGTGGAGTTGTCTACCTGGTCTACACATTGCCTGAAACACAAACTGTTTTGGATTTGGATGAGTATCTGTTAGATCAAACTTAGCCAGATAAATTATATGACTAAGTGATTGAGGAAAAGAACTCTGAGAATAAGAAAACAGGAGAAATACATAAAGTTAGCAGTGGAGAAAGTAAGGATTTTTTTTTTTTTTTGGTACTGGGGATCAAAGTTGGGACCTTGCACTTGTGAAGCAGGCAACGGAACCACTGAGCTAAATCCCTGGCCCAAGAAAGTATGGATTTTGAGAAGATAAATTGCTTCTGAGGAAGGAGCAATATGGTTACAGTGTAGTCTGACCACGCACACACTTTGCTTTGAAAGAAGCCTTGATGTGGTCCGGGGATTTAGCTCAGTGGTTCTGGTGCCTGCCTTGCAAGCGCAGGGTCCCAAGTTTGATCCCCGCTACCAAAAAAACAAGCCTTGATGTGTCATATCTGCTGACTATAAAGGTTCCAGGTGGCTCTGCCATATGTGAGTTTAGTATTTAGTAACACTTCAAATATGGCTAGGAAATTTTTTTTTTCCTTATTTTGAAACAGGATCTCACTAAGTTACCCAGGCTTGCCTTGAACTTGTGATCCTCTCGCCCCAGCCTCCCAAGTAACTGGGATTATAGACGTGGCATATCTGGCTAGTAGCTGCCACCTTGGATAGTACAGGCCCAACTAAGAAGATTTGAGTGATTTCATCACTGTATATGTTTGGCTCTGGGGTCCCAGGTAGATGCTGTTATTCTGAGCTGCCTGTAGGCTGCCAGCTGCCTTTTGTTTAGATGAGTCCTAAACCCACTGAGCTACATCCCCAGACCTTTTTCTATTTATTATTTTGAGACAGGGTCTCACTCAGTTGCCCAGGCTGGGTTTGAATTTATAATCCTCCTCCTTAGCCTCCCAAGTAGCTGGGATTACTGGGACACTATCATGTCTGGTTTGCTTTGCGGGGTGGGGTAGAGACAGGCATCTCACTATGCAGTTCAGGCTGGCCTTGAACATGAAGTAACCCTCCTGCCTCAGCCTCAACCATGCCTGACTCTGAAAAATTAGGCTTTCAAAAGGCAAACCATGGCCGGGGATTTAGCTCAGTGATTCCACTGCCTGTCTCGCAAGAGCAGGGTCCCAAGTTTGATCCCTGGTACCAAAAGAAAAAAAAGGCGAACCAGGCTGGGAATGGTGGTGCATGCCTGTAATCCTATCACTCAGAAAGCTGACACAGGAGGATTGCTAAGTGTTTGAGGCCAGCCTGAGCTACATAGTAAGACCCTGTCTCAAAAAAAACAAAAACAAAAAAAGCCTAATTCTAGTAATAGATGAATATAAGATGTTGATATATTTATTTTCTCATCAGTATCTCCCGTAGTTGGTTTCAGCTGTAACAGATTTGTTGTACATAATTTGTTGGCAAAACTCCTTACAGAATTTTTTTTTTTTCTTTAGACAGAGTCTCACTACGTGTCCCAAGCTTACTTCAATCTGCTATAGAGCCAGGCTGTCCTGGAACTCTATCCCCCTGCCTCAGCCTCCCAAGTGGTGGATTTACAGACATGCATGGCTGCACAGGGACCAAAATTCTGAATTTGGCTTCTCTGAGTGAATCAGTCCATCTAGGTCAAATGTAAAAGTACTGTACTTTATGTGCTTCCATGCCAATCCCTAAGGATTAAGCAGTTAATAATAACAGTTCTCAGGCTGGTGATGGTCCACACATGTATTCCCAGCACACCAGAGGCTGAGGCAGGAAGATCCCCTGAGCCCAGGAGTTCAAGACCAGCCTGGACAGTATAAAGAGAGATGGTCTCAAAACAAGTAAAACAAAGCTCTCCTCTTATGGATTATACATTCCAGGGGAGAACGGTGGGCTAAAAAATATGTTAAAATGTCATTTGGTGATAAGTGCACTGGATAAAACCAAGCTAAAGGATTAGAGTGATACAGGAAAGTTTCACAGTGATGTCAGGGAAGACTTCTCTGAGTAATGACAGCTGAGCGCAGAGGCTAGAGCAAAAAAGGCAGTGAACTAAGGAAAAGTACATGGACAGTACATTGATAGCAAGATTACTTTGCTTTATTTGAGTTTACTTAGAATATGATTTATCATGATCTGTTGATAAAGTTCTTTTCCACAGCATACCTCACATACTTTGTACTTTTACTTTGGGGCTCCAGATTTTAATTTTAAGAACTGGGCAGTAGGGCATAAATGCTAATTTTTTCTCAGTGTCCCTTTAAATCAAGTAATTGTGACATAGGGGTTGTTTGGTTTTATTTTTCCTATTCTGCAGGCATTGGGTTTGGCTATCACAGACGAACAAATCCAAGAGATGAAATCCAACCTGGACAACATAGACTTCAAGATGGCCGCTGAAGAAGAGAAAAAATTACGGCATGACGTGATGGCTCATGTGCACACGTTTGGCCACTGCTGTCCAAAGGCTGCAGGCATCATTCATCTTGGTGCCACCTCCTGCTATGTTGGAGACAATACAGTAGGACCCTCTGTTCATACTGAGGACTGAATCTTTATAATGCATTTTATTTTTATTTTCCAGCCAGGTGTAGTGCACATGTATAATCCCAGCACTCTGGGAGGCTGAATCAGAAGGATTGCAGATTCAAACCCTCCTGGGAAACTTAGTGAGACCCTGTCTCAAAATAAAAAATAAGAAAGGGCCAAGGATATAGCTCAATGTGAAGCCCTAGATTCAATCCCCATTACTGCAAAGGAGAAAAAAAAACCAAAGTGTTCTTTCCAAAGGCCATGAAAATTTGCTATGGCTTCTGAAAAGAAAGGATTGTATTAAAATTGTCAGGAAAAACTTTTGATTAGCAAAATTGTCTTACAAGCATTTCAAAAGTAGTAGCAAACATTTCCTTGAGAGTTTACTAGCTGCCAGACACTTAAACGTATTCATTTTTTTTTTTTGTACCGAGGCTCAAACTCGGGTCCTTGCGCTTGCGCAGCAGGCAGCGAAACCACTGAGCTAAATCCCCAGCCCAATATTATTTCATTTATTCCTCACAAGTGCCATAAAAGATAGATGATGTTATTTCCATTGTTAAGCAAGTTTCTTGAGTTTTTTAAATTGCAGAAAGCTTACCCATTTAAAATATGCAGTCAGTGAATTTTAGTAGGTGAATGCAGTTGTTCAGCCTTCACCGTGCTCCAGTTTTAGACTACATCCTCCCAAGAAGTTCTCATGACTGCATTCAGTCCCTGACAAACACTTATCTGCTGTCTGTCTCTCTAGTTTTGTCCACTATAGAGAGCAGAAACAGAATATTTAGAGTCTTTTGATTTTTGTGTGTGTGTGTGTATGTTTTGGGTTTTTTTTCTTTGCAGTATGAGGGATCAAACTCAGGACCTTGCTCTTGCAAGGCAGGCATGGTGCCACTGAGCTAAATACCTGGCCCTTTTAGAGTCTTTTTAGTTTGGCTTTATTATCCTCATTTTACAGATGAGAAAACAGTTGAAGAACCAGCCCGCAGATACACAGCTAGAGAGGATACAAGCCCAGGTAGAATGGATCCCATGCTTATGCTCTTAGCAGAGTGTCCCTGTGGGAATGGAAGCCCAATTCCAAGTAAAGTTCAAATTCAGGGAGAAGCTGCTGACTTAAGTTGCCCCTAGTTCCCCTCCACTCCATGCTGGGGATGGAACCCAAGGCCTCACACATTCTAAGCAAGTGCTCTACCTCTGAGCCAAGCCACCCAGCCTACTTTTCTTTTTTTTAAACAGCAGAGTCTTACCATGTAGTTGAGGCTAGCCTTGAAACCTCTATGTAGCCTGGGCTGCCCTGGAACTCAAGATCTCCCCTCCTTGGCCTCCTGAATGTTAGAATTACAGCTGTGTGCCAACATACTTAGCCTTCTTTTTTAGTCTTCTAAGTAATACATAATTAAAGACATCTATGTATAATTAGATAGCAGAAGAGCAGTCTTCTTGGAAAAATTTTGAAAAGTACCCATTGTGTGGTTTCAGTAGTTATTGTCATACATAAACGTGTTGGAGTTGGCCAAAAATACATCTTTTACCTCCTTCAGTGACCCCTTCAAAGCTCAACATGGTGACACACGCTTATAATCCCAGCATTCTGGGAGGCTGATGCAGGAGGACTGTAAGTTGGAGCCTGGCCTGCGCAACTTAGTGAGACCCTGTCTCAAAATAAAGGGCTAGAAGATGGACCAGATGGCACATACCTGTAATCCCAGCACTTGGGAGGCTGAGGCAGGACAAGTGCTATGAGTTGAGACCAGCCTGGGCTACATAGTGAGTTCAAGGCCAGCCTAACAACATAGCAAGACCCTCTCTCAAAACTAAACAAAACAAAAAGGGCTGGTGATATGGCAAAATGGGAGGCCTTGGGTTCCATCCCCACTACTGCAAAAAAAAGAAAAGAAGCCTTAAATTTCTTAAACTTTGATGTTTTAGATCATGCCTTTCCTTGTTAGCAACTATAGATGAACAAAAAGAAAAACAATGGAATGGTCGCATATGGAAGTTTCTCAGAAACTCAGACACTCCTGTCTAGTAAGATACAGTAAACCTTGTGGACTTGTTCATTATTTAGTCATTATAGATAGCACATACATTGGGTTTTTTGAGCATAAAAGTTATGTCCAGGCCGGGAATTTAGCTCGGTGATGCTACTGCCTGGCTCGCAAGCGCAGGTCCTGAGTTCAATCGCCAGTACCAAAAGGTTATGTGCGTAGACAGGTGTGGTAGGGCATGCCTGTGATCTCAGCACTGTAGCACTGTGGCAGGCTGAGGCAGAAGGATTACAAGTTCAAGCCCAGCCTGGGCAATTTAGCAACTTAGGAAGACCCTGTCTCAAAATTTAAAAATGTTTTAAAAGGGCTGGAGGTGTAGCTCAGTGTAGAGGTCTTAGGTTTGATCCCCAGTATCAAAAACGAATGAATGAGTGAATGAATGAATGAATGAATGAATGTTAAGTTCTTAATGGATTCCGAGAGTACTGCTCTGCTTTTGACTCCATAGTCAGAAAAGAACAGCCTGTATTTGCACCTTCTGGCATACACAGTGGGTTGGTAAAGATGAGGTAGACTATGAGCTGAGAAACCTAGCTGTGATGCCCAAAGAGTGGTTCATAATCAAACTGATAAAGCTGTCTAATAATGTGAGATCATTGCACTTTCCTTTGCAGGACTTGATTATTCTTAGAAATGCATTTGACCTGCTTTTGCCAAAGGTAAGAAATTGGCAGAAGTTTCTTTGCAGCTCTAGATTCCCTGTGATAGAAGATGGGCTTCAGTTATAAGTAATCAACACAGTGGCACTCCATAGATTTATCATTTTCTCAAGGGACCATCTATCTGTAGAGCTGATTGTCTCTTCATGGGTTAAACCACTGTAAGTGAATACTTTTTAAAGCATAGGCTTTTAAATGAAGACAATGCAACCAGAGGCTTATTGCTAGCTATATGGGTCATGATTTTTTGGTGGATAGGAGGATGGAAAGAAAGAACTAAAGGTAAAAAAAAAAATGGAAAAAGCGCTTTTGCAAATGGCACGGGGACTAAGAGTTGGAAGGAGCTGAGAGAGATGGGAGTGATGAGAGGTGGAAAAAGAATTAAGATCTGTTACATACATGTACCAACTCCTCACAATAAATATAAACATTATGTACTGCAAACATGTACTAATAAAAAAATAAATTTTTAAAAAATGGATTATGATTTTGTTCTGTTTTTCTGTAGTAATCTTAAAATAGTTTGTGACCTGAGTCAAGTCAGTTTTCAAATGTTGGTTGTTGTAAACCCTGATCAGGGCAGTGTAGGATACAAAGATGAGAAGATAGAGACACTGTCTCCCATGAGCGGGAGGTCTGCCTTGTGTAAAACTTACCTAAAAGGTTAGTTCCTGATTACAGAATGCACTCACTGTGAATTAACTCTCCCTCTCTCCACCCCACGGTCTTTCTTATAGCTCGCTAGAGTGATCTCTCGGCTTGCTGACTTTGCTAAGAACCACGCCAACCTGCCTACCTTAGGTTTCACACATTACCAGTAAGTAACACAATAACATCTTGGGAAACAGACCAACTGACATGCTTGTGGCTTTTAGTTAAGAGGGTGAATCTCAAAGCATAACTCAACGTAAATAACTTGGGGTGCTGATGAGAAATGATCTTGATAACCCATCTTAGAAAGTGTACTTAGAAAGTAAATCCAACAGTTCATTTGGAAAAAATTATCAAGAGCCTTAGAAAGCATTTTCAAATTCTTTAACTTAGTAATTCTCTTCTTGAGAATCTGGCCTCAAAATTATGGGAAAAGCTTCATACATAAGCTCTTTGTTACATTATTACTTTATATTGTAAACATTGAAATCAATCCAAATGACAGACAAAATAAATAAGATATGGTATATCCACAGGTTGGAATAATATGAACCATTACAAAGACACTTATAAAACTATTTTTTTTTGGTCTCATTTTGTTTTTTGTTTTTTTGAGACAGGGTCTCACTATGTAGCTCAGATTGGTCTTGAACTCACTAGCCCAGGCTGTCCTCCAGCTCCCAGTAATCTTCCTGCCTCAGCCTCGGTGCTGGGATTGCAAATGTGTACCACCATGCCCAGGTGACAATAAATACTGATTCTGATTCTGATTCATGATATAATAGGGAAATTAAGATTTTTTTCTACTTTTTGTATTTTTGTTTTTAAAAATATATACATATTTTCATAGTTACTGAATAAAGCCCTTTTAAAAACAAAATGTCATCTTTGGAACGCTAGTGACAAATATTGAGTAGTGATATCCTGGCATCTATCGTTTGTTTTTCAGTGCTGGGAATCAAACCCAGGGCCTTGAGCACACTAGGCAAGTGCTGCACCACTAGGCTACCTCTCCAGCACTGCCTTACAGGTTTTTTGTTTGATACTGGGGATCGAACTCGGGACCCTGGGCTTGTGAGGCAGGTGGCGGAACCACTGAGCTAAATCCCCAGCCCTGGCTTATGTTTTGATGAGATATCGATCATTACAGCAATAAGAATGTCATCTCAACATTGATGAAAGCCTTTGGGACTTAATCTTCCTTGAAGTTAGGGCTGGCTTTTCTTTTTTTTTTTTTCCAGTGCTGGAAATGAAACCTAGGCTCTCACACATGCTACTGAACTACACCCCAGACCAGGCCCAATATTTATTGATAACTTCTGAAGAAATTGTTCATGTGAACAATGTGTGGCTTGACTTGTGGTAGCTGCTGTTTTCCCTGCTGGCTTCCCTACACTTCTAGCACCATCTTCTTCCTTTTGTCTGAGGGAGGGTGCTCGGACAATCCAGAGGCAGTCCAGTGTTGCTCTGCATGTGGCGAATAAGAGGCATTAGGACCTTGGAAAATGGCATTGGTGCTTAGGCATCACCTCAGTATGTCAACCCATGCATTTAAAACACAAAACAGGTGTGGCGGCGTATGCCAATAATTCCAGCATTAAGGAGGCTGAGACAGGAATCAATGGGAGCTGGAGGCCATCCTGGACTATGTGGTGAGTTCAAGGCCAGCCTGAGCTACATAGGCCCTATCTCAAAAAGAAAGTTTTACTGTGATATAGTTCATGTATGATGAAATCTACCCTTTTTAAAGTATAGAACTCATTAGCTTATAGTATATTCAGAATATTCACAGGGTTATAGTTATTACCACTAATTTCAGGATGTTTCCATTGCCCCAGAAGGAAACTCCATAGTTGTTCGCATCACTCCTATAACCCCCGGCCAAGTTTTTGACAACCGCTGACCTATTTTTGTCTCTATGGATTTATATAAATGAAATCATGTACTGTGTGTAGGCCTTTTGCTCACTTAGCTCAGTATTCACCCACAAAGCATGTAGGAACTTCACCTGTTTTTGTGGCTGAGTAATAGTCCATTGTGTGGATATACCATACAGTATTTTGCTTACCTATTCATCAGTTGGTGGACATTTGTGTTTCCAGTTTGTGGCTATTATGAATAATACTGTTCTGAACTAGTACATAAAATTTCTTTGCTTGTAATGGTAATCTATTAGGATTTAAGAATAAAAAATACCATGAGTAATTGGAGATATACTACAACTTATGATGTGCCTTAATGTTATCAGCTGTCCATATCATGAGTCTAAAAGAGAAATTCAACCTGGAGTGGGCTACATTATCTATTAGAACTCGGACATTATTATAGCTCACTCATTACTGTTTTATGTCCAGAAACATACCTCAGTGGGTGGATTAGAGTTCAGAAACAAAGCTCCTAGCATCCTTTGGTTATGTGTACTTTGGGGTCTTCTCCATAGCACGACTGACTCCTTCCAAAGGCCGCCCTTTACTGCCAATCTAGAGTAACCTTGGCCAGTGTCCTTCCTCCTCTTCATTTTTAGCACCTGAAGTATCAGCAATTGTTTTGTTTACTAATTTCCACTGCAGTGTAAGCTCCACTGGACAGGGAACTTGTCTGTTTTGTTCTTAATTGTATTTCCAGTACCAAAAAGACATTAGATACTTGGTCAGTGTTTGTTACATGACTCTGATGTATTTCTTGCCAGTGTCAGGATATAGTCATGAACAAGGAGACATTGTCCCTGCCCTTGTATTAAAATTTCTCTTCATGAGGAAAACTATGTTAGTAGCCCTTGTGTTTTTTAAATATTGGAGTGTTTATAAATGACATTGGCTCTCAATTATTATTTGCTCAAGCCTTTTAAGTTTTGGTTTTCTTTTACTCCCCTTCAAGGGGTAATGCTGGCTATTAGAAGAAGGAATGAAGCCTTCCTGGAGTTGGGCCTTGGCTTGACACTTGTGTGTTTTCTCTTTGGGTTGTTTGCAGGCCTGCTCAGCTGACGACAGTTGGGAAACGTTGCTGTCTTTGGATTCAAGACCTTTGCATGGATCTCCAAAACTTAACACGCATTCGCAATGACCTGCGCTTCCGGGGAGTGAAGGGTACCACTGGCACTCAGGCCAGTTTCCTGCAGCTCTTTGAAGGCGATCATGATAAGGTATGGGGGATGCATAAACTCAATGGTGGCAGCCCAAGCAAAGAGGTTCCGGGCGATGGGGCTGGAAGGAAGTTGGAGAGCTAGGGTCTGGGTGGGACAGCCATTGTGATCCTCTTGTACCAGACACCTAGGTTTCTGTAGGATGTGTCTTTTCTACCCCCAGGTAGATCAGCTGGACAAGATGGTGACAGAAAAGGCAGGATTTAAGAGGTAGGTACATGGGGAAAGTGTCAGCCTCCTGGTTAAGTTGATGACAGGCCTGTGTTCAGTGTGCCTCTAGATTTGACCATGATTTTTTTTTTTAACTTTTTTTTCCTTTGTTCTTCTATACATTTTCCTTTTATCTCTAGCCTGGGTATTATTTTCTTACAGGCTAGAATCTAGTTTTTTTGTTTGGTTGGGTTTTTTGAGACTGGATCTTGCTATGTAGTCCAGGATGGCCTTAAACCCACAATCCTCCTTCCTCAGCCTCCTGAGTGCCAGGATTACAGGTACACACCACCATGCCCAGCTAGCTTCTCTTTTATTGTTTTCTTTGCAGTGCTGAAGATTAAATCCAGAACTTTGCACGTGCTTGGCAAGTGCTTTACCATTGAGCTGCCCTCAGCCCTGGATTCTATTTTCCTTTTTTTTTTTTAGTACCGGGGATCAAACTCGGGACGTTGCGCTTTCGAGGCAGGTGGTGGCACCACTGAGCTAAATCCCCAGCCCCTGGATTCTGTTTTCTTATAACATATTAGAAAAAGGAAGCTATTTACTTCTGCTGTCTTTAGAATTGCCTTACCCATGTTGCTGTTTTTGTTTCTCCTGATGGCCTCCAGTGGTCTAAATCTGACCATTTCCTCTGAGGTCTGCTGGGCTCCACCATGACTTCTGCTGGGCTTTTACATCTAGCTGTGGCAGGACATGGGTACACAACACTCTCTTTCCTTCTCAGGTCAGAAAAGCTTCCTGAGGAGTAGAAAGAAGGATAGAATAGCGGTTTGTTCCAAGAGTGACTGAGCATTGACAGCTGGATTTTGACGTTTTAACATACCTCTCTTTTCCGTTTATTTGCAGGGCTTTCATCATCACAGGGCAGACCTACACACGAAAGGTGGACATCGAGGTGCTGTCTGTGCTGGCGAGCTTGGGGGCATCGGTGCATAAGGTGAGGGTGGCAGCGGTGGGAGTGAGAGGTGGGAGCGTGGGGCACCGCTTCTGTCCTGGTCCTATCTCTCAGTCCTACAACAGCTCTAATGGTTTGGGGCCTATAAATGGAGTCCTTAAGTTGAGGTATGTCAAAGGGACAGACTAGTTCCAGCATTCTCTTTAAAGTTACGCTAAGGGGCCAGGGATTTAGCTCAGTGGTGCCGTGCCTGCCTCACAAGAGCAAGGTCCTGAGTTCAATCCCCAGTACTGAAAAAATTAAATAAAAATAAAGTTACTCTAAGATAAATAAATAAATAAAAATAAAGTTACTCGGTTTCGCAACCTGCTGCTCAAGTGCAAGGACCCGAGTTCCATCCTCAGCACCAAAAAAAGTAAAAAATAAAAAGAAATAAAGTTACTCTAAGAGCTGGGTGTTGTGGCACACACCTGTAATCCCAGCACTCGGGAGGGTGAGGCAGGCAGATTACCCTGAGTCTAAGACCGGCCTGGGCTACCTAGTAAATTCAAGACCAGCTTGGACTACATAGTGAGACTCTGTCTCAAAAACAAAGTTACTGGAAGAATACAAAATGCCCAGCCTTTGAGGGGTACAGTGAATCTTGCCATTGTAATTCCCTCGTGTCCCAAGCTGTGCTGCTCAGAAGCATGTCCATGCTCCAGTATCTGTCCCCCCCCCAGCTCTTGAGCAGGGGGAGTCCTGGGTGGGATGCTCCCTAGGAGCTTTTGGGCAGGACAGGCCAGTGCTCAGTTCAGTGACAGCTAAATGGTAGCACACGTAAGGATCTCCTAAGTGGCCTGATGCCTGTTCCCCCCCTTCCCCCAGATTTGCACTGATATCCGCCTTCTGGCAAACCTCAAGGAGATGGAAGAGCCCTTTGAAAAACAGCAGATTGGTGAGTGTAGCTGGAGACCCAGGAGCCCTCCAGTGCTGCTGGAGTGGTGTGCAGGTCATGTTAAGAGCTTGCCCAGCACCGTGCTTGTGCACCTACCGTCCCCTGAAGTCTTTCTGCCTTTGCCTCTCTCCCGTCATGTGGCCAGGCTCCAGTGCGATGCCGTACAAGCGGAACCCCATGCGCTCAGAACGATGCTGCAGCCTTGCCCGTCACCTCATGGGCCTTGTCATGGACCCACTGCAGACAGCATCTGTGCAGTGGTTTGAACGCACGCTAGATGACAGTGCCAACCGGTTAGTGACCCAGGGATGTCACATGCAGAGTGCTGAGGGACCAGAGGAGGTACCTGGAAGCAGAAGGCCATGTTGGAGCATCTGTGTTGTATCTCCCCAAAGCACCCAGAGTCCAGCAGGGAGGCAAGAACAAAGAACAGGAGCTGGAGGTGTAGCTCAGAGTTAAAGTGCTTCCAGTGCAAACCCTAGCACTGCAAAAATACAAAACAACAGAAAAAGGGTCAGGGATTTAGCTCAATGGTTTCGGCTGCCTGCTGTGCAAGCACAAGGACCCGATTTCGATCCCTGGTACCAAACAAAACAGAAAAAAATGTGAGCCAGGCATGGTGCCATGTGCCCATAGTCCGAGCCACTCAGGAGGCTGAGGCAGGAGAATTGGCTTGGGTCAGCTTGAACAGGAGAGCTTATCTCACAGAAGAAAGAACAGTGTGGTAGTGTTAGATTGTATTTGATGCATCTCTGGGAGCAAAGAACAGTGTTAAAGGAGTCAGGGGACATTTTAGTCATTTAAAGCAAGAAAGGAGAACAGCTTAAGGAGTAACTAACAGCTGGATACCACTGTGGAATGAAGTTGAAATGTGACAGGAGGGAAGGCAGGACTTGATCACAGATGGTAGCCAGCTTGTGGAGGGCCTCCCAGGCCTTGGATGCTGCTCTAAAGGCATGTAAACAGCAACTGTGGTGTCCTGGTACAGTGCTATCTTTATGAGTCACAGGATAGGTCAGAGGAAATTGTCACTACCTATCACAAGCTAGGGGCTGGGGATTTAGCTCAGTGGTTCTACTGCCAGCCTCACAAGTGCAAGGTCCTGAGTTCAATCCCCAGTACCAAAAAAAAACAAAACAAGCGAGCATACACATGGTTTTCTACTTTGTCTGTACTCATCTGTAGCAGATTCATATTGTTCTAGTTTGCTTGCATTGTACCAGGATTTCTTGAGTGGAAAAAGATATGGACTTAAACATCCTCATTCAGAAGTGAGCCACTGAATTCAGTCTTCCCTTGGTATTCGAGGGGGATCCTCCACACACACATGAAAACGGAAATCTGGTGCTTCGTCCCTTATGTGACATGGTGTAATATTTCCACATAGCATACATGTATCCTCCCATGTACTTTTTTTTTTTTTTGAGACAGGGGTACATTATGTAGTTCAGGTTGGCCTTGCACTCACTGTGTAGCCCAGACTGGCTTCAAACTTGCAGCAATCCTACCTCAGCCTCCTGAGTGCTGGAATTACAGGTGTGTGCCACCACAACCAGCCCTCCCATATATTTTAAATAAGATCTCAATTACTTGCAATACCTAATACAATATGAGTGCTATGTACTATAAATAATTGTGATAATGTATTTAAGGGACAAGAAAACAATAAGTATGTTCACTACTGATACAAATTTTTTTTCAAATATTTTACATCCACAGTTGGTTGAATCTCTGGATGCCAAACCCTCAGTATCTGAGAGCCAACTGTGTTTTAGGAAGGTGTGGCAAAATGTGATTTGCCTGGTAAATCACCCTGGCAACTGGCGGTGGTGACACACACCTAAGATCCCAGCTACTCGAGGGGCCAGCTGGGCAACTTAGTGATACCCTACCTCAAAAAAGTAAAAAAAGGAGGTTGGGGCAAAATAATTAGTTAAAAAGGGCTGAGTATCTCAGTAGTAAAGCACTTGCTTAGCATGTTCCAGGCCCTGGGTTCTATCACCAGTACTGTAAAAAACCAAAAAAAACCTGGCAGCAGTTTAGAGAATCAGTCCTTAAGAGACAGGGGTCAGTCAGAAAAGTCAGGAGGCTCCTTTCAAAGTCAGTGACCCTGCAAATGAAAAGAAAGGATGTGGGCTGTCAGTGGTGGACCCGCCAGTCTCAGAACTCAGTGACAGGTGCTAGTGCCATCTACTGAGGCAGGACCAATACCAGGAGAGCAGGTTTGTGTCCGGGACTGGGGGAGCCAGAGATGGGCTGAGTTCAGTGGGAATCTGAGGTATCTGTGGGTCAGCCGAGGAGAGCTCTCAGGTGTAAGGTCTGGCACTGGGCAGGTGGTTTGGACTAGGGTGCTAAAAGATTTGAGGCTCGTGAGGACCTTGGGGTGGGTGAAGTAGTTCGAAAGTGAAGGTTGTTGTCAGGAGAGTACCTGTGGCAGAAGTTAATAGGACAGCCTCTTTGGCCACACCCTACAGGTCTCTGAAATCATCATTTGTTTAAAGGGCTAATCAGATGGCTGTTTGTTTTGTAGACGTATCTGCTTGGCTGAGGCATTTCTTACTGCAGATACTATACTGAATACGCTGCAGAACATTTCTGAAGGATTGGTGGTGTACCCCAAAGTAAGACCTTGATTTGTAGTTAAGCATTGGGGAGGAGTTGAGCCATGGGGAGGGGTGTGCTCTGGTGTGAATGTGTTCCCCTGTATTCTGGTCTGAGGGAGTTCTTCCACCTAGAGCTCATCTGGAAGCCCATGACCTAAGCCCGGGGAACAGGTTCGGTGTGACTCATAGATATGGCTGTGGAACAAGAGAAAACAGTACTTCACGTGGCCTTATCCTGTCTGCCAGCCTGCAAGTAGCAGGCAGGTGCGTTTCCATCTTACACTCAGCTCTTGGAGCTTGTTGCCAAAATTTAACACATTTTAGGAGTTCAGGTTTTAGGAACTGTTTTGAAACAGCTTCTGAAAGTTTCCTTAAACCAACATTCCTCTTTTTAAAATCAAAATAAATCTCTGGGTTTGTAAGAAAACTAAAAAATACAGCATAAAATAAAACAACTCATTGCCCGCTCTCTAGCTCTGTAAGTAATGGTAGCTGCTGTGCATTTAGCTTGACACAGTCGGTATCCTTTGTATGTGACTTCATAACCTTGAGACATCTGTCTTGGCCTTTATTTTTTTCTTTTCTTCTAGGTCATTGAAAGGCGCATTCGTCAGGAGTTGCCATTCATGGCCACAGAGAACATCATCATGGCCATGGTCAAAGCTGGGGGTAGCCGCCAGGTGTGTAGCTGCTGGTACTCAGGTAAACTGAGAGTGTGCCCTCCCCCTCAAGGGAGAATGGAAAAGGGGAGGCATTTTTTTCATTACCTTCAGTCACAGTATTGCCACAGTGCAGTGACTGAATTCTGCCATCTCCGGAGGGTTTGTGTTGAACTCAGTTTATTAGAAATGAATCACATAATCACTTCTAGGAAAAGTCCACTCTTAGTCAAGGAATTAGTTTGGAAATCCCATGGGAAGTGAGTGGGAAGCAAGACCAAATGGCGCTAGGCTTTTGAGAAGAACAGTGTCCACCTCAGGGTCCACTACAATGTGGTGAGAGTTGAGGTCCTGGTGGAGTCAGACTGAAGGGACCCTCTTCAGCCTAGAAGGCTTCACTGTGCGTCATCTGCTGTCTTCCAGCAGAGTTTGACATCCTGTTGACAGTGAACTAACTCTACCTCACTCTCTTCCCAGGACTGCCATGAGAAAATTAGAGTGCTTTCTCAGCAGGCAGCTACTGTGGTTAAGCAGGAAGGGGGTGACAATGACCTCATAGAGCGAATCCAGGGCGATGCCTACTTCAGTCCCATTCATTCCCAGCTGGAGCACTTGTTGGATCCTTCTTCCTTCACGGGCCGGGCGGTCCAGCAGGTGAGCAGCGCTTGGTGCTTCTGAGAAGTCTCCCTGGGGCCCTCTTCTACCTGCTGGGTTGCAGAACTGGGATACTACTATCCTTGATATCTCTTATGGGAAGTATGAAATGGGGCTGGCTAGGAATCAGGGTAGGTTGCTGGCCTAAAATGTAAAGGTTTGGCTGTTTCAAGTTGCCTTAAGTATTTCCCTTCTGAATTTCTCAGAACTTTCTTTTCTTTTTTCTTTGTTTTTTTTTTTTTTTTGGTACCAGGGATCAAACTCAGGACCTTGTGCTTTCAAGGCAGGCAGCAGCACCACTGAGCTAAACCCCCGGCCCTCTCAGAACTTTCTTTATTTCATAGTGGTATTGTGAAGATTGAAGTGTCTAGCATACTACTTACTGCATGGTAGCTGCTAGTAAGACTTGGCATTTTCTCTTAGCCTTTTGAAAAAAACTAGAATTTTAAAAATTTTACTGAGTACATAATGTGTTCAGTATATGTTTGTTCAAGTATTGTATTCTGAGGATTTAAAGATCCATAGATAGGGCTGGGGATTTAGCTCAGGGGTTCTGCTGCCTGCCTCAAAAGCACAAAGTCCCGTGTTCCATCCCTGGTACTACTACTACTACTAATAATAATCCATAGATAAATCTAGGAGGCTGAAGCAGGAGGATCACAAGTTCTAGTTCAGCCTGGGCAATTTAGCAGCTTAGCAAGACCCTGTTTCAAAATTTTTAAAAGGTCTGGGGATGTAGCTCAGTCCAGAGGCCTTGGATTAAATCCCTAGTACTGCCACAAAAAAGGGGGGTAAGGAGCTACCACTAACCAACGAGTAGGTGAAGAGGGCTTAAGCCAAATAGTGGTAGTAGACACAGATAAAGAGGAGAGAGGGAGAGGAGGTTGATCACTTGGTGGCTGGATGATTGGGCGGAGAGGAGGAGAAATGATTTCTTGGAGACTGGGTGGAAATGAGGGAACCGACCAAGAGCCCAGGCTGGCCTGGCCTGTGTGGGCCTGGGGGGTGAGTGGGGCCGGGCAGAGATTTCTGACAGGCAGTTGAGAAAAATAGATGCTCAGTGGTGGAGTAAAACTTTATCAAGTAGGTCTCAGTGACATTGAAAAGGCACCGTACCTGCCTGGCAAGTGCAAGCTTCTGAGTTTGATTCCCAGTATCGAGAAGAAGAAAAACTAGAAAAGGCATCACCTTGACATTTTCCTTTGTCTTCCATTTGCTTTCCTCTTTGGCAGGTACAGAGATTCCTGGAAGAGGAGGTTTATCCCCTGTTGAAACCATATGCAAGTGTGATGGAAGTGAAAGTAGAGTTAAGTCTGTAGAGTCAGGAGATTAATAAATGAAAAGTCATTGATGGTTTACTAATTTTATTGCTGGGTCATGAAAATAGCTTGCCTGTACACCTCATTTACCTCAAGAGTTGCTACCGTATATTAAAACAGCACTTTCTTCCCACTATGCTTTCACAATTCTCAGGCTTAACAGTCCAGAAACAAAGTGCGTTGGTGGTTGACAATATTTTTTACAGCAACACAGACTTGATTAATAGTTGTAGCTGACACTTCCTTCCGTTCCTTCCAGGTAAATTTTCCAGCCTCCCTCAAGTCTAAAGATGTGGGGTTATTTTCCAATAAACCCATCATAAGTCAAAAATGCATATTTTTTTTGGTGCCAGGGAGCAAACTCTGGACCTTGCACTTGCAAGACAGGCGGCGGCACCACTGAGTTAAATCTCCGGCCCTGAAAAATGCATTTATTGAAGTAACCTGTCAAACATCATAGCTTAGCCCCGTCTACCCAAATGCACTCAGAACCCTTGCTTAGCTTACAGCTGAGCAAAGTTATCTCACATAAAGCCTCTTTACAATAGTGTTGATGTACTAAATACTGTACTACAAGTGCAGAACAATGGTTGTTGGTTACACTCTCCCCATCATGAAATAGAGAAGTTATCAGTTGGTAAATTGAATTTCCATCCTAAGTTGGGACATTCTGTAGTTCTTTCACACGTTCACTTGTTTGTGAAGTAGCAAAAAATTCCTGGTCCTCTCATGAAGGTGAATTTGATCTGAATCTAGCAAAATAACCCTGATTTGGTGGTTTAATGCAGTCATAACTATCTTCAGTCATATTTGGCTAAAATAAGTAATGAAATTTGAAGCACCCTTCCCTCAGAAAAAGAAGTGATTATCAGACTTAGCTCATGAGCTAACTGTGCCTGTGTTATTTCACCTTTTGATAAGGCTGATGTATCAGGAAAATGCTAATTGGGCATATTGATTTCATCAGGGCATCTGATAGTCTCTAAATCCTTGTTATATGGATTGGTAGCTGATTGAACCAACAAAGAAGACTGGGTTATGAATTACCCACCTGGCAGGAAAGCACTAGTGTTCAGATGAGTCATTCTACACATTTTCAGTGTCAGTGAAAATGAAATTAACTGGGTGTGGTGGTGCATGCCTGTGGTCCCAGGACTCTGGGAGGCTGAGGCAAGAAGATTGCAAATTTGAGCCCAGCCTGGGCAACTTAGTGAGGGAAAATGAAGATTTTCCAGTGACACAAGACCAGGAGAATTAACCAGTACATTTACTTGGTAAAATAAGATTTCACCTGACAAATATAAATGTAAACTGGGAATAGGGGCACATGCCTGTAATCCCAATGCTCAGGATGTTGAGGCAGAAGGATCTTGGCAGGTTTGAGGTAAGCCTGGGCTACACACTGAGTTCAAGACCAATCTAAACTACATAGTGATGCTGGGGATTTAGCTCAGTGGATCCAGTGCCTGCAATTTACAATCCAAGAGGGCTTGATGTTTGTAAACATACCCTGAAGTGGAAGCCTAATCTGGCATAGTGTTAATTCTGGGTGGGTGTGAGGGTTAGGTGAAGCTGGAATGGCAGTGTTGGATCTGACATGGAAGCTGCTCAGAAAATGTCATTTTTCAGCTGAACATGGTGGTACACACCTGTAATTCCAGCACTCAGGAGGCTGAGACAGGAGAATCACCATGAGTTTGAGGCCAGCCTGAACTACATAGCAAGACCTTGTTTCAAAAAAAAAAAACAAAAAGGAAAGAAAGAAAATGTTATTTCTGCCCAGGAAGGCTTCCCAGCCTCCTCTGTGGTCAGTGAGGAAGCAGGCTGCACTCAGTTTGGTTTGTGTGCCATGGAAGAGACTTAACTTTGAACCTGAACCAGAGAATGAGAAAGTGAGTCAACATAAAGATTAAGTAGAAAAAACTGGCCGGCTAGACTCAGTGGTGCATGCCTGTAATCTCAGCTACTTAGAAGGCTGAGGCAGGAGTATTATGGTCTGAACCCAACCTGGGCAATTTAGCAAGATCCTATCTCAAAGTTCAAGCAAACAAAAACAGTCTGGAGATATAGCTCCATACTCCCTGGTTCAATCTCAGTACCACAAAACAGACAAAAAGTAGGGCTGGGGGTATAGCTTAGTAGTAGAGCACTTACTCCAGCATCCCAAAAAGGAAAAAATTAAAGCTGGAAGGATGTGTACATAACCCTGCCCTGGGTCCAGCCCCAGCTACATACACGGGAAAGCTATATCATGAAATAGTAAGAGTTTGTGGGTAGTGAATAGGTTTAAGTTGATTTTGTGTTTGTGTATTTTTTCAAGTTTTTGAGAATTTTTACTTCAATGAACTTAGTTCCAGATTTATAAAACCTAGTTTCAGATTTATAGAAAAGTGGCAGAGTTTCCCTGTGTACCTTATGATTTCCCCTATTAATGTCGTAATTTATATAGTACAGTTGTTACTACATTAGTAAATGAATATTGACACATTATTAAATAAAATTCTTAGTTTTTAAAATAAATTTTATCCCACCCCTCTCCTCAGGCCCCCAAATTCTTAGTTTTTAACTAATGGCCTTTTTTCTATTCCAAGATCCCATTCTGGGGCAGTTACTATATTTAGGCATTGTAATAAAATATTTTTAAAATCCTAGCGTTCATATAGATTACAAGATCTTTTCCTTATCAGAGATGTGGTTTAATATACATAAATTTTACCCCATATTCTGACTAACTAGAAGTCAAAGCAGAATTTGATTTCTCCACATCTGGTGTGACACTTACTTTTTTTGACAAAATTTCTGAAAAACTAGTTTTCAGTGGTGAATGTGGTTGTTACCAGCCTTCATGGAAAGTACAAACTCAAGAAACCAGCTGCCAGCCATGGTGGTATATGCCTATAGTCTCAGCACTCTGGGAGACTGAGTCAGGAGAGTCACAACGAGACGAGCCATGGTTGATCTCACCTGGCTGTCAGATCCCAACTTGCGTTGTGGGTTCTGCAAGTTCTGCTTGTGGTGGGCAGAACTGTGGTTGGCAACATTCCAGCCCAGGTTAGGAAAGGTTTGAAGGCATCCTAAGGAGCTATTGTGGATTCCTTGACCTTAATCCTCACACGGGAATTCCCGGGAACTATCTGGCTCATATCTAGTAGTGGGATTAAGTGGCTACCTGTGTGTGAGATTGAAAGGGAGACTAGAGCCATAAAGTCTTCCACTGAGTTTCCATCAACAAACTATCTTTTCACTGCCATGGCTCTAGGGCACTGGGAAAGAGCACATTAAAATTTAAAACTATAGGAAAGTATTATACCTCGCCCCTGGCTTCAGAGTTTAATGTGACAACTGTCTTTAAAATGCAATTAGGAGGCCAGGGATTTAGCTCAATGGCACTGCGCCTGCCTCATAAGTGCAAGGTCCTGAGTTCGATCCCTAGTACCAATAAATAAAATGCAGTTAAGACCAGGCATGGTAGTGCATGCCTATAATCCTAGAACTAGAGAGGCTGAGGCAGGAGGGTCACTGAGTTTGAGGCCAGCCTGGACCACATAGTTGAAGGCCAGCCTTGACTACATAGTGAGACCTTGTCTCAAAAAACCAAAAAATAAAATTAAAAATTAAAAAATGCAATTAGGATAGCACTTGTAAGAGTCTAGGAAAGTGTATTTTAAATACACTATAATACAAAACATCCCCAAAAATTAGATAAGAATCTATCCATCCCATAGTTTATGTAGAATTCATATACAGCATTTACAAATAGAATTTCATACAATTGTTATATAGTCTCCCATTCCTTAGAAGTAATTACTTTCTGTGTTTTGTGGCTTTTAGATGCACAGGGACAGGGGTGGAAGCTTTGTCTTCAGATTTCCTATTAAGTCTGCAGAAAAGGTAGGCAAAAATGAAATGGTGATAAATTATTGCAAAATCCAAAGGGAATGATGCTAAAACTAGCATTATTCAGGCATTAAATTTTGACACCTCAATTTACCTTAGAAAATCTCAAGAAATTGTATTTTCCCCCTAAATGTAAGAAACATAACCCCTCCAAGTTGAGAGATGAGAAGAGGAACATTACCACCCTATAAAGCCTGGTATTGGGACTGGGGTTGTATGTACCTCAGTGGTAGAGCCCTTGACTAGTGTGTGTACCCTGGTTTGGATCCCTAGCTCCTCCAGGAGTGCACACACACACACACACACACACACAACACAAAGCTGGTATTCATTGCCCTAATTAACTAAAACAACAGAAACACTTTTACCAGGCAGTGCCATGGCTGGGGAAGAAAAAGGAACTCGATCTCAGAAAATGGGTTCAGATCTTGGTCTGCCACTTATGAGCTCTCTTTGGCCAGGTCCTCCCCTGTAAAATGGGAATGGAAAAATTCACATGTTTACAGCATGGGTGTTAGAAAATATGGCAGGGCTGGGGATTTAGCTCAGTGGCACTGTGCCTGCCTCAAGTTCAAGGGGCTAAGTTCGATTCCTGGTACTGGAAGAAAAAATATATATATATGGCAAAGTGCTTTGCCAACTGTGGCAGACAGGAAGGTCATGACTGATAATGTGTGTTTTTTAGGCTATCGGAAGCTACCAGTGTGGTGGGATAAAAGACAAGAGAGGCCACTGGGAAACAGGAGGATTTATTTCAGGTTTTAGGCAAACACCGGCTCAACCTCAATTGACTAATATCCAAAGGAAGAGCAGAGAACAAAGGAAAGGCTCCAGTTTTTATACATTTGGTCCAAGGAGGTTGGTCTTTCTTGGAGTTTACAGAAACAGGGCAAGGACAGACAGTTTTGTAATTTAGCCTTGAAAGAAGATAGAGCCTTATGAATAACTGTCATAAACTTTGTTTACAGGACATAGTTGTCAGTATTATCTGTACCAGAGCAAGGAGTTACAGCTACAGGGGAGAAGAGGTGGGGTGATGGGTGGGGGTCTGTCCAAAGCTGGGAAGAACTTGTTTTTAGGTCCTGCTTCACCAACACCGCTAGGAACCCAGGTTTAGGTAATAAGCAGATCGAAAACTAAATTTAT